GACTAGCACCGCATGTCCTGGACTGCCTGTGCTTTTGGACTGGTTTCTTTTCCTGTCTGGTAGCTTCTAGGAGTCTCAGTGAGCGCCACTAAGGCCTTTGCACCGCGGCGGTCCAACTCCCCCGCCCCAGCCCGGGGCGGACGGTTTTATTTGTCGGTGCAGAGGCTGCACTGCACCGTACTTGACTATTGCGTGTTTGTTTTGATGACGCGTCAAATCGGTCGTTTTCGCTTTTCGATTCACCTTAGTTGTACTTTTATGCACCTTAGTTGTATGCAATGTGAACTGATATCTCGAGCGACCTGACAATAAATATATGAGTCGGAAGCTCTCTGTTCAGCTAGAGTCGTGACCAATCGACCGAAGAGCTGTGGCAGCATGGCAAAAAAAAAAAAAAAAAACGCAAGATTCACCACCGACCAGTATGTCGTGTTCCTTTCAGGGCGATATGGACCTCCCGGTATATGACTCAGGGCCTGGGTGATATCTTAATGGCTGTGACTCGGCCACACCTCGGGAAGGACCTTGGACTCTGTCCCCGCTGCTGAATCGAGCAGTTTGGCTTCACTTCCGACCAATGCACCTATCTCTCTGTGCTGACGTTTACGTTTTACAATGTACGGTATCTGAGTTAGAGCGATAAAGCCACTCTGTAGTCAGGTGCGAACCTGTTCAGTTGTCTCCAGTGTCAGTATTGGAGCAGAGCACTGAGAGGCCACCCTACTCTCGCCCAGCGGCGTACTCGCGCCAATCCCGCCGTGTTGTGTCGCGCGGCTCGCGCTGAAGGCTGTCGGCTGGGTGACGAGGGCGCTGACTCCGATCGATCCGGGCCGTCAGGGCTCAGAGCTGACTGACATCTGTGTACAACCGTACACCCCTGGCCACAGTCCATATAAGGTGAGAGACGCGCGCGGGCGCACAGCTGCCGACGCAGCGGTCCGCCGCCGACTCGCCACCCGGCCCGTCCCGATAGCGGCGCTATCCGCGCGGGAGCCGCCGCCGGCCGTGAGGGGGCCTCACTCGTCGGCCGAACAGCTGTGCTACAGGTGGTGTCCGCCGCCCGGCCGGCGTCGACCCTGCCCTCGCGCCCGCACCAGTCGCTCGCCGCCGCCACCGCCGGCATGTACAACTTCGGCAGGGACGAGGCGCGTCTGTGGCGCAGCACCACGCCGCGCCCCGCGCCCCTCGGAGGGTCCCAGGTCAGTCTGCGCTCCCGGACCGACAGCGGGGATGGCTCCACCCTCAGCCTGCCCCGCGAGAGGGCTATCGACGTCCCGGCCAACTTCGTCGCCAAGCCGCGACGAGGGGTCGCCGAGCGGCCGGACCCCGCGCCGCCGCCGCCGGAGGCCGCCAAGAAGAAGAAGCGGAGGCTGCCGCGACTGAGGATCCGGTTCACCCGCAAGAAGCGCTCGGCGCACGTGGAGTGGCCGCCGGAGGCGCTGGAGGCCGCCGAGCGGGCCGGCTCCTCCAGTCCGCCGCCGTCGGTGGCCGAGCGGCCGCCGCGCGACCCGCGCGTCAGTCGGCTCGCCGAGCGGCCGGCCTCGGGCGCCGGTGACGACGTCACCTCCAGCGGCCTGGGCAGCTCCTGGGAGACGGGGCTCAGCGTGTGCTCGTCGCCGGCGCTGGAGCGGCCCGGCCTGGCGCGCCACGCCTCGCTGCGCCGCTCGGAGCGCCGCACTCTGCGCGCCAGCCGCGGCCGCAGCGGCTCACCCGGCTCCGACTCGTTCCGCAGGACCGTGTCGTGTCCGGACGGCCTCGGCTGGGGCGGCGGCGAGACCGAGCACCCGGCCGTGCCGCTGCCGCCCGCCGGCGCCGGTGCAGAGACAGACACGGAGTCCAGCCGCACAGCTAACCTCGGTGGTAACGGAGATGCCACTGCCAGTGATACGGTAGCCAGTGTCAGCGCGGTGAGCAGCTTCGCCAGTCCCCCCGGTGGGTCAGACGACCGGCACACGGTCAGCCCCTCTGCTGACCCTCCCAGCACGGATCACAGCGCGCGCCCGGCGCCGGCCGGCTCGGTCAGCGTGGAGCGGACGTTCGCTGCTCAGCTGGCGCACCTCCGGCCGCTGGCCGCCGGGGTGCGCCACTACTGGAGGCTTCGACACGAGGAGGAGCGGCTCGGGACGTTCCACGTGCACGAGGCCAGTGTCGAGTTTGAACAGCTGCCGAGGAACATCCAGCCATTCGTGCTTTACCACCGACCTCTGGTGGCCGAAATCAAAACCTTCTGGGCGCAGAAGAGGAAGGCGCTTCGCGCACGGGCCAGGAACTGTGAGTCTGCGAACAGTTCAGTAGCCAGTGAAGAGTACAGTGAGTACAGTGAGCAGTACAGTGAGCGGGACGGTGGCGCGGGCGGCGATGGTGTTGGCGACGGTGCCGTAGAGATTCCCGTCCAGAGAGATGACGGCGAGCCGGCGAAGGGAGACGAGCCACGACATCGGGACAGTGACGGTGCCGTGTGCCGTACAGACACTGCGACTGACTCACACGGCGTCAGTGAGAGTGCACGGCCCGAGCCGCGGCCGGCGCCCGACGCCGACACAGTGCGTCAGGTGCGGGCTGACCTGGACAGTCTGCGACCGCTGCAGGACTTTGGGTACGTGCTGACGCCGGTGACCCGGTCCCGGCCCGCACCGCCGCGGCGCGCCAGGTCGGCGGCCGTTCGGACAGTGTCAGCGGAAGCGGACGAGAGCAGAGGAGGAGACGAGCAGGCTCCGTCAGGTCTGAGCTCCGACCTCTCAGGAGAACCAGAGCGTGCACTATCAGAGACGACATTCGAGGTGCCCAGCGAAACATCACAAGAGATACCAAAAGCGCTACCACAGGACCTACCAGAGGTACCAGTTCAGACAATGCCAGAGGCAGAGGCACCATCGAATGATCTGTCAGAATCTCCCAGTGAGAATTCGGACCCGCCGTCTCTGACAGATCCGCTTGCGACAGCTTCATCAGAAAGCGACCACGGACACGAGTCAGATGGGTCAGATCTTACAGAGGCAGATACAATGCCCTCAGTGAGTAGACAGAGGCCATCTCCGATCGTACTCCCAGCTCTGGAAGCAATCGTAAATACCGAGAAGCCTACCGTAGCAACGGTAAAACCGGCGACTTCAGATTCCGCGCCGCACTCAGAGAGCGAGTCACCATCAGCTGCGGATCCCTTCACCGCGCAGCCCAAGCCGCGCCCCCTGAAACCTGTCGTCGCGGCCGGTCCCATCAGAGCCTGCTCCCTCGACTCGGGCGCCGACCCAGGCAGCCCCCGCTCCGGACCCGACTCTAAGCCCTCCAGCCCCGACGCGGCCGACGGGGAGCGGCGCGCGGCCGAGCTCAGCCGGTCGGCGTCCTTCGCCAGCGCGCGCTCGTTCTGGCGCTCGCTGCAGGACCTGCGGCCGATTCAGGAGAGCGACCGGCTCAGGAAGAAGGTCAGTTTCCGCGAGCAGCAGGTGCAGCGCCGCCAGGACCCGGTGGCCGTGTTCTTCCGACACCTGCTGCACAAGAGCGAGTCGTCCCAGGAGGTGAGCCGCCCGCCGCCGGCCGAGGCGGACGGCCAGGGGGAGCCGCACCGCTCCACGCTGCCCGTGGAGCCGCGCCGCCGACCGGCGCACACCCGCAGCCTGCCGAACGCCGTGGTGGCGCGCGTGGAGCCGAAGCCGCAGCGGAGGTGGCCGCGGCGGCCGGAGGAACCGTCCGACTGGCGCTGGATCCAGGACCCGCCGCTGAAGGAGGCCGCCGACCCGCCGGAGCCGCCGTCCGTGCGCCACCTGCGCCAGGCGCTGGGCTCCAAGCCGGTGCAGCCGGTGGCGCCGTACCACCTGCAGCGCCAGGCGCCGGCGACGGCCAGCAGCCGGCGCTTCATCCGGCCGGGCGTGGTGCGCCGGCTGCAGGCCCAGTTCGAGGACCTGGCGCGACAGCACTGAACCAAGGAGCGGCAGCACTGAACCATGTGCGGCAGAACTGAACCAAGGAGCGGCAGCGCTGAACCATGTGCGGCAGCACTGAACCAAGGAGCGGTAGCACTGAACCGTGAGCGACGGCAATAGACCTGGTGCGACAGAACGGACACGGTGCTGTAGAATTGAACCTGGCGCCACAGCACTGAACATAGCGGGTCAGAACGGAACTGGCAGGTCAGAACTCAAATAGGTGCGCCACATCTAAAACTAGCCACCCCGCGCCTGGCTGAGTGAGCCTTCGGTGTCAGTGATCCGTCTGTGAGTCACTCGCAACACGCGAGGAAAGCATGACGAATAGGGAGGACAGCGACGACAAGAAGTGGACAAAGAGATAACTGCGAGCTTTTATTGCGCGTCGGGTCAAACCGCGCAACAGCGGCGGATTGCCGGGAGCCGTGCCCGGCAGTTTTATGACGGAGAGTGTCAGTCTCAGGTGCCACGGGGCGAGATGTTTACGATTTACCTATCGCTCGGTGCAGAGTAGTTGCTGAGCTGGTGTTAATAGCTCGTACCCCTTGCTCAGGTGCTGAGCTCGTAGTCGCGGGTCGGAGGTAATTTATTGGGTCGTTCAGTCTAAGTGATACTTGGCAGGTCCTTGGTATCCATGTCAGGGCAATGAGAAATACCATATGGCTTCGTACCGCGTGCTATCTCGAGATAAATGACTTGCTGCTACGGGGAGGGTCTATCTCGGCTGTGGTTTTATCTCCCGTGCCCACAATCTCCTTGAGACGGATGCGGTAAAATGTAATATGGCCTAAGTCACTTATCAGCTCGCCGGAGGTGTCTAGGCCACGCTGGGCCCAGCCACCTACCACGAAGCCGGGGGTAAAGAGGGTGTTTTAGCGTGATGTTGCCTGAATGTCACATCCTTCCACATTCTGAGCATTTATCAACCGAGCTTCGGAAAGCATAGCGTTATTCATTGTTACGTGACATGTTTAAGCTTGGTGAGACTGAGATGTTCTGTGTGACCCGTAATACACATCTTCTACAACATGAATTATTCGTAAAACCAACACATTTTTTCCACTACTGAAATATCTATCAGTGAATTGTACACATGTATTACAAGCGGCATGACCCACGATGACCCACATACGGATGTCCAGCCCCACAGCCCCTGCTCATTTCCGACTTTTCGCCTTGTTCTTCATATTCTGTCGGGCCAGTTTGCCGGGCCGTTTGTTGGGCGCGCCGCCGCCGCCCCTGCCTCCCTTCGCGCGGCCCCCCGCCGCCCCGCCGGCCGGCCCGCGACCCTTCCCGCCCGCCTTGGAGACGAACTTTTTGCCGCCGCGGCTCTTGCCGCTGGTCCAGGACGTGTCGGAGGTGCTCTCTGCTGTGTTCCGCTTCTGGCCGCGCTTCCTGCCGCCGAACCCGAACCGGGCGTCCTTCTCCTGGCGCTTCTGAGACAGTCTGACAACACACAGGTCGGAACGGGTCAGATATGTACCGACAAAGGTGGGTACGGGTCGGTATTCTTTTAACGACACGGGTGGGAACGGATCAAATAAGTGCCGAAAAGGGTGGGAACGCATCATAACTAGAGCATGACGGGAAATGGGGACAGTTAGGTGACCACACGGATGAGCACGGGTCAGATTTGTAGCGGCACATACGGACGCGGATCAGAGCTGCCATGAACGAACCTTCCCACTTCAAAGTGAAGCATACTGAGATGCCACCCACCACAATGCAAAGTGAATTTAACCCAAAGTGAAGCCTCAGCACTTTTCGAAACAGAGCAGGCATTCACCATAACGATATTACAAATCATCAACTCACTTTTTCTTCTGATTGCGCGCCTTGCCCGGCTGCTGTCGTTTGTTGGACTGCAGCTCCTCCGGCGTCTCGAGGAAATCGAGATTCTTTTCCGTGCCCTTTCTGAACTTCTTCATCTTCTCCAGCATCTCCTTCTTCTCCTTCTGCTTCCGCTGCTGCGCCTCGATCTGCGTCCTCTTCCCCGTCTTCTTCAGCTCGCGGAGTTTGCGCGCCTTCTCGGACATTTCCTTCTGCGTCTTCTGCCTGATGAGGAACTTCCGTACCTGGCGGGGACGGACGCGCAGTCAGAGGCTGAGTTCGGTCACTGGGGACGGCGACACAGCGCCCGGCGGGGAGGGGAGGCGGGGGAGGGGAGGCGGGGGAGGGGAGGGGGTTTTGTGTGCAGGTGTGTGTGACTAAACGCCACCGTCACCAAGTGTGAGCAAGACATGCCTTTCGGGCGATAGGGGAATTGACCGGGTGTTAACATCGGTAATGCTGCAAGTAGGCAACAAAACGTGTTAAACAAAGTGTTCTGCAAAAGTGACGATACAGTCTTCACCAAAAGTTATTTGCTTAGTGATGTTTGTAAGATATACGCATAATTGTTCATCGGGCAGAAACGGGGCCATATCGACCAATTAGTTTAAGTTTTACATTCTTTTAGCATGTCAAACCATTACTCGGCTTTGAAGAAAACCTATGCCCAGTGTCCATCCAAACGATGATGCAGCCGGTCTAGTCGTTAGTCGTTACCTTGTCCATCTGTTCGTCCGATTTGACCATCTGGGCGAGGTAGTCGTCGGGCCGGCGGGTGGGTACTCCCTCCGCCTGGAGGCGCGGCAGACCCTCCAGCACGGCCGCCTGCAACGGCGGAGACATGGGCGTTAGAGAAGCGGAGACAGCGTCACAACGGCGGAGACACGGGTTTCAGTGGTGGAGACAGCGTCACAACGGCGGAGACACGGGTTTCAGTGGCGGAGACAGCGTCACAACGGCGGAGACAAGGGGTTTCAGTGGTGGAGACAACGTCACAACGGCGGAGACACGGGTTTCAGTAGCGGAGACAGCGTCACAACGGCGGAGACACGGGTTTCAGTGGCGGAGACAGCGTCACAACGGCGGAGACACGGGTTTCAGTGGCGGAGACAGCGTCACAACGGCGGAGACACGGGTTTCAGTGGCGGAGACAGCGTCACAACGGCGGAGACAAGGGGTTTCAGTGGTGGAGACAACGTCACAACGGCGGAGACACGGGTTTCAGTAGCGGAGACAGCGTCACAACGGCGGAGACACGGGTTTCAGTGGCGGAGACAGCGTCACAACGGCGGAGACACGGGTTTCAGTGGCGGAGACAGCGTCACAACGGCGGAGACACGGGTTTCAGTGGCGGAGACAGCGTCACAACGGCGGAGACACGGGTTTCAGTGGCGGAGACAGCGTCACAACGGCGGAGACAAGGGGTTTCAGTGGTGGAGACAACGTCACAACGGCGGAGACACGGGTTTCAGTAGCGGAGACAACGTCACAACGGCGGAGACACGGGTTTCAGTGGCGGAGACAGCGTCACAACAGTGGAGACACGGGCGTTACAAAGGCGGAGACACAACGTCACGTCGTAATGACACACAGCCGATACCAGGTCAAATCCCGTGCTACAGGCATGAAATAGCGACACAGAGCGTTGGGTCATAGTCGCTTTGGTGTAGGGGTGAACGAGAAATCGGTCCTCACTGGAATGAAGTCGGACAGAGAGTCCCGGCGCTGTCATTTCACGCGGAACATCGCACAGTGCAGACGGCATCAACACTTCAACAGCACTTCGAACCACCGAAGTCTTACCTGGGCCTGCCGGTAAAACAGCATCTCCCGTTTAAAGTCATCTTCTGCTATCGAATCATCGGTGGCATCTGTCATTATTTGCTCTTGCTGAAATAAAAATAAAGCCTGAATCAGTCTTTAAAATCGTTTCTCTAGGAGGAGAAGGATTACTATCGCTGGAAACATATGCACGGATACACGATATTGTCACAACCGTAACGTTGTGGCGAAAAACTGCTTTAACTTGGCTTTAACATCATAACTGACAATGATGCACGTGGGATACGAGTTTTGCCGCATCATTTCATACACTCAGACAAGACGGCGAATTAAAACAATCACCACCCTGAGCGCCGAAAAGCAGCCCTTGTCTGATAGGATGTGTTAGTCACTCGTGCAGTCCTCTGTTCCGATGGGCAATAACCGTTTGTCAGAATGCGATATTGCAGAATAAGAACAAGTGTTGTCCTACTGATAACATTCGTTTGTTCGGCGCTGCTGGGTATGAACAGGCGTGTCGGTTGTTCTGGTAGTGGCTGTTCGGCCTACCCAGAACCCAGGTGACGCTCACGTGTGACGTGTCTCCGTGATAACGCAACTGATACAGGTGTCGTCAGGATATCTCACGATAGCACCTCCAGGCGTTCAGAAACACATCCGCGCTGCCGCTGTTAGCGGGTGTGCACGCGTGAGTGATCAACTATTCACAATTTCACGTTACATCGCTTATTCGTGCACAGCTCCGTTGCTCATTAGCTATTGAAATCCAGCCCACCCGAACACATGATTGCAAAACACTGCAAGTGCGTAAAACAACATCTATCATACACAGCCCAAAGTCGTCACGCAAAACAAGACACGGCCCAAGGGGGACCCTTGACGTCACGTGTATCGTCACCTTGATGACGTCACAGTTAGACCGCGCCGCAGTGACCACTCAGCGGTGTGACCGGACGAAGCTATCAGACCATACGTGGTAGTTCCGGGTTACTGGGCTCGTCCACCGCCCCCGGTATCGCGCTTCAAGTGTCGTCACTCGGCGGCCTCTTTAACCAATGGTCACTGGCCATTACGCCGGCCCCTGTGATGTTTCCGACCCACGCACCCGAAGGCAGCGGTACTCCGTGGAGATGTCATCTTATGCTGCTAAGACTAATAATAAAAACATAATGAATACAAAAAAATGTCATAAAAACACGGAAACCTTTTTTTGCTGGGATAAACTGTACCGAAATTGAATCGCAGATTCTGCAAAATACATGGATTTTGCAGAATGATGTGTAGATACCAAACGAAAAACGATAAAAAACGGGTACCTATGCACTTGTTATTCCAGGTCATAAGAGCTTCAGCTGAAGGAATCGATCTGTGGCAGTGGGACAAAACGATCTAATATCGGACAACACACTTTGGATTTTTGCATGATCAAATAATCGTCCCCAGCCTTTTGGCAAACTGCCAGTAGCCAATTCGCATGACAGTATAGGTAGTCACTCACGTCTCGTTTGAGTTCGGGCGCCATGGGTGCGGGCCGGTTGACCAGGTCGAGCCGCTCGAGCCACGGCAGGCGGACGCGGATCTCCTCCAGTTTGGCCAGGATGGCGCCCTGGGGGTGGACAGGGAGCGTTACTGGCCGGCCGAGACGGGGTACTGGCCACACCGTCACGGAGTCGGTGTGGGGCGAGGTTATAACTAACAGATGGAAATGAGCTGATATATTAATTCAGCATCAGCACACACTGCAACCTGCAAATATGGTGGGAAAGATAGCAGAGTGGTCGTGGATGCATAGTGCATACTATGAAAAGAATTTGTTAAACAATCATAAGGCAACAAAAATTATTGTTTGCATGAAAAAAAAACGATGCGACACAAAAGAAAGCATCAGAAAAATACTTGAGTTTGAACAGTACCTACCACTTGAGAGTAGGTATCTGATTGGAGGGACCTGCTAAGGCATTCTGTCTAATATGCTGGGAAAATTCAGGCACCATCAGCAGACAGGCACCGCCTGCTTTTCTTTAATCTGGCAGAACAATGAAGAATATGACATTATGTGAAAAAGTAACGAGCAATGTTCAGCAGGCATGACTTACCTCATTGTTGACAAATGTTTTCACTGGTCTTTCTTTGACAATATTCAGACCAGGCTGCAGCTTTCCTGTTCTGAAGGCCTCCTGAAGCTGAGAACAGTAAAAAAAGTTATGGTAAGCATACATGAAGGGTAGACAGGACAAGTGAAGGTTGTGAGGGTCAGGTTTTGCTTACAGTTGAAAACGACTGAGTATTGCACTTCTAATGAAAATTTATAACAATGGCAGGCTTGGCAGCAGTGAGCAGCCAGCATGGCTTAGGAAAAGGTAACAGTTAATTATAATACATTTGTTTTACCAAAAGCACTAAGCAGTGAACACAACCAATGCCTTTGCCTTACCTCCTCATCTGAATCCTGTGCAGAGTCCTCTGAGTGATAGCCTTCCATTTCAGAGTCATCGTCCATGAGATCCATTGTGCTTGCTAATGATAAAAGTGATGTCTGAGGAAGCATCAATACAAATGATAAATAAACACCATGCACTTAGTGACATTTAACAGCTTTACAGATTATACCAAGAAAAACTAGCCACTTAGTCACCTAGGGCTTAAGAATTCAACTGCCAAATTATTGTTCATCTATCTTAATAATGAACGGACTTGAGAACTCATCTACGGCAGCAGCTAGGTAGGTAACACATCATGATTCATGAAGAACTTGGTGAAGTGCTTATTGCTGCCTTTTTCTGTAATTATGCTACCAACCTGCTGCAATTATCAACCTTTTGGTTTTATCAGCAAACTTATAAATGAGTGGCAGAATTGGCAGTATACTGGTGATGAAAATTCTACCAACAATTATGGTCATATTATATGCTGATGAAGCCAGATGTGCACAGGTCCCAGACAACCAATTACAACAGTCAAGATGACCATTATATAAGTGTTATTCAAGCATCAAATTATTGTACAAATCACTGCTCATAAACTCTCCAAATGACTGAAAAATGCTCGCATTCCTTCGGAGTTGCAAGATCTAGGAAAATCCTACAAGATGCAGCACAGATAAAAATATCAGATTATGGTGGTGGTAGCATGGCGGCAGTTGCTGCTGGGGCGGTGCGGGTGGGCATGCAGTCGGGCGGTGACCCGAGTCAGGTGATTGCCTAGTACCTACGTAAGCCGAGAGGTACTGCAACATAAATAAACCCTTTTTGCACCAATCGGCAATCATTGTTTTGTATGTGTCCTTATTAATGGAATAAATCTATTCTATCCTATCAGCTCATGGATCCAAGCTGGAAACCGCAGGATTCTCTGAGAGGTGAGAACTATCAACTCTGAAGGAATGCAAGGATGCTACTTCATTAAGAGTTAATAAGTAATGATTTACATAAATATTTCATGCTTGAAGACTATTAATCTGATGGATATATAAATTTTTGTGTTAAGTTTTTAGGGTTTTAAGGTTTTGTTTAGTTTAGTAAGGTAAGGTAAGGTAATTGTATTGGATCCATGCATGTCTGGCTGAAACCATATCATTTCATTCATGAATAGTAGAATACCTAACTTAAAATCATGTATGTCACACTGTTTGAAATGTTGAGTTTAAATGTATAACCCATGTTTTCACATAAATGAAGCACAGTTTTGACCACTGTTTTGACAAAGAAAACAAAAATATTAGGCACTGCTTGTCAGAATCCTGGCGATGCACGCAACGTTGCCCAGACTAGTTTGAGTTGTATAAGAAATTAATTTACCTCAGAAAACGTTGACCGTCAGAAGCTGATAAACTTCTTCGCAATATAATTTATAAAATCTACAGCACACAGTTCAAGATTTTCTTACGGAGTTACGAATATTTCAATTCGAATTTTTACTTTCAAAACACACGCATGCTTCGCCGAAGGCTCGAGATCATTTGTCGCAATTGTAATGGCAGTTTCGCCAGATCTGGCGCAGCTGTGACATAAATTTAGCATTAACTTGATGCAAAATTTCAGAAGTGACTACCAGTGTTTACCAGTGACACCAGTGTTACCAGTGACAGTGTTTTTATATACCTTGGTGACTACAGTGCTGCTGAATTCAGTCGACAGCAGTCGACAGCTTCGCTACCGCTTTTCGAGAATCGAGATCTTGCATTTCAGAGAAGTTATTTGAGACATAAAGGCTAGGAAGATAAGTACAATACCCAGTAGATCAAAAGTGTCAAGGAAAGGAAAACATCGAGTGAAATGCTCTCAGACGACCTCGAAATGCATCGGACCATATAAGCATAGGCGGCGGAACGGGGAGGGCACCGGGGCAACGTGCCCCCCCCCCCCCTTTGATTTTGGCATTTTAACATTAGCCCTATGGGCGTTGCATGGAAAGAATGGGACCAAAAGTCGGCAGTGCCCCCCCCCCCCCCCCCCCCCACCCTAATTAAACGCGTTCCGCAGCGACTGACCATAAGTGCCCTTCCTGATGTGCCCTTACACAGTCTCATTCTCCACGATTTTCTGACATCGAACTTCCTTCAATCGAAGAAATGCAAACGCGAAACACCTCCTCACAACGGACAACCTTAAGCTACAAAGGTTTCTCGTTTATTATGCAACAGACTGTCGTTCAGAAGCAGGAGAGCCGCCAGCCGACGTATCATATTTGGCTGCAGGCGACGGATGCGCCGAGAGAAAAATCCATAACTATGCCATCGATTTGAGAAGCTACATGAGCATCTATTGGAAAAAATACACTTCTCATGCTCGAGTCGCGTCTTTCATCAGGCACATATACTGCATGGTATATGAATCAATCCCTACCCTATGGATTCGGAGAACGTCCGACAGCGAAACTGATTGGGCCTCGCTGGAGGAGGCTGCCACTGTCCGGGTACACAGATTGGGCGTCCAATAGGAACCAGACACGACCAGAGAAAATCAAATGATCACAATCATCGCAATAGACACACTGCACAGTACACAATGACGCACAGCTGGATTCACGCTGCCACAAAAGTTCTCATGTACCAAAAGCTGTAGGTATAATATCACACACAGACTAGCCGCCGGTGGCGCCTGATATTCACGTTCCGAGCGCTGCCGACTTGCGTTTGCGTTTCTCGGTGTTGTCGCCAGGGGCGCTGGGGATGGCACGCGCCGCGCCGCCCGGCGGGCTGTAGTTGAACGGCGGGATGACGGCGGTGGCGTTGGGTCGCGCCTCGGTGGGCGACTGGGCGGGGGAGCCGACCCGCCGCCAGCCCTGCGGCGTGAACACCATCCGGGAGCGCGGCGCGGCGCCCTCGGTCAGTGCCGAGCCGGTGCGCGACGGCTCCAGCGGCCGGTTGGCGTTGGCGTCGCCGGACACGGGTTTAATCCAGACGCGGCCGTCGTGTCCGGCGCCGGGCGAGTGCAGCTGCTGCTGCTGCTCCTGGCGCGCCCGGCTCGCCTCGATCCGGCGCCACAGCGCGGCGATCTTCCCGGAGGACTCGGCCGCCAGCGGGCCGCCGCCGCCGCCGCCGCCGGCAGAGGTGGTGGAGCTGACGCTCGAGTTACTCGCGCTCCGCTCACCCCGGGTCGGAGTCCGCCCGCCGCCCAGACTGGAGTTGCTGGCGCTCTGGCGCAGCGCCCGGCCGCGCCGCGGGGAGGTCGGCCGCTGGCGGCGCGCGCCCGGGCTCTGACTGGCGCAGCGCACCTTCAGAGACAGCGTGCTCTCGTAGCTGGGCGACTTCGGGATGCGCGAGCGGGCCGCCGACAGCGCCTGTCCGCTGTGTGACTTGGGCGGCGGCCGGGCGCCCGACGGCGGCCGGCTCAGCTGCGCAGACAGCGCGCGCGCGATCTTACCGCCGCGCGTGGGCGCCGGCGGGGGGACTCTGGGTTTGGCGGTGCCTCCCTCCGCCTCCGCCTCTGCCTCCGCCTCTGCCTCGGCCACCGTCTGCTCCTGAGTGGGTTCGTCCAGCGTGAAGGTGCCCTGCTTCTTCAGCTGCGCCGGCGGCTGGGGCGGGGCCGGCTCGGCCGCGGCCGGCGGCGCCGCGCCCACCGGGGTGGTCGCTGCCGGCGGCGGCCTCTTCACCGGAGTGGACGTGACGGACCTGGCGGGCCGGACGGCGCCCACCCAGGCCGGCCGCTGGATGCGCGAGGTGGCGCTGGCCACCGGTACCGACACGGGCCGCTTGGCGGCCGTCCGCCCGGCGGCCGGAGCCGCGGAGGGCGTGGACGCCGGCCGCGGCAGCTCGCGGCTCACCACGCCCGCCTTGCCGGCCGAGCCGAACCGGCGCAGGCCCAGCTGCGGGCTCGAGGTGGCGCTGTTGGCCGGACTCGGGGTGGCCGAGCGGGAGACCCTGGCCAGCGGACTGCCGGCACCGGCCACCGCCGAGCCGCTGATCACCTTACGGAGCTGGGTGGTCTTGGTGCCTCTCACCGGGCACACGGCCGGGGAGCTGGCGGAGCTCGGCCGAACAGCCGACACCTTCGGCTTCACCGCCGCCTTGGCCGGCGTGGCGGGAGCGTCCCGCTTGGACGGGTCGGCCCGCCGCGGCGCCGAGTAGAGCGGCTTCCTCTTGCCGCGGATGCCCTTGGGCTGCTCCGATTCATCCTCCGGCGGCTCCTTGCGTGTCTCCTCCCCCGGTTTGACGATCCGCGGCCGCAGTTTGACGGGCGAGCTGTCGGTCGGCTCCGAGCTCAGCTCCGGCTCCTCGGCCTCTGCCGGCGGCGCCAGCACGGGAGTCGGAGCCGCAGCCGGAGCCGGGGCGGACGCCGAGACCGGCACCGGGATCCGGCGGACCAGCGGCGGCGGCACCGGCGGAAAGTGGGGCAGCGGCGCGCTGGCCGGGTCGCCGTGCAGCCCGCTGCCGCGGCCGGCCGACTGCAGGCAGGCGATGGCGCGCTGCGCCTCGGCCGCCAGCTGCCGCAGGTCGCGCCGGCCGGACGGTGGCGCCGGACGCTGCAGCGCCTCCTGCGCCAGCTGGCGGATGTCCAGCCGCGGCGCCGGGGACGGCGGCGAGGGCGTGTCGTCGGCCGACGGCCGCTGCAGGTCGTCCGAGCCGCTCTCCACCGTCTGGGTCCGGTACCGGTCGCGGTCCTCCTGGCGCCGCTGCCGACACGTGCGCCGCGCCCGCGACGAGCCGGACGCCGCCGCTGAGCTGACCCCGGGCGCCGACGCCGACGCGCGCAGCGTCTCGTCCGTCTCGGTGGCGGCGGACTCGGCGCCGGGGGTGAGCGTCAGAGTCAGGTCGGCGCTGCTCAGGTCCTCGGAGCCGGCGCCGCGCGTGAACGTGCGGTAGCGCTCGTCGGAGCGGCGCCGGCGCGGGTGCGGCGTGCGTCGGCGCACCAGCGGCGAGCTCTCGGGGGTGGAGTCGCGCGGCAGCTCGGGCGGGTCCAGCGGCAGGTCCTCCTGCGCGCACATCTCCGTGTCGCTGCCCAGCGTCTCGGAGCCGGGCCCGGCGCCGCCCAGCGTCGAGTCGCAGCGCTCGGTGGGCTCGCCCAGCTCGTGGAACAGCGACGGCGGCTCCAGGGCGGCCAGACTGTCGGCCGGCGCGGCGCGCGGCTCGGCCACCTCCGAGCGCAGGCTCTCCAGGCTCAGCATGCTGTTCTCCATGTCCAGCTCCTCCATGAAGGAGGGCGGCTTGACCAGCTCCAGGTTGGACTGGCAGCTGCTGAGGCTGCTCAGGCCCTCGGCCGACTCCTGCATGCCTCCCTGTGTGGTGGCGCCGCCGCCTCCGCCACCCAGCGCCCGGCGCATCATCTCCGGGACGAAGCGGCTGGCGGCGGACGGCCGGCGCGGCAGCAGCGGCGAGCGGCCGTTACTCAGCGAGCCGCTCGACGGGAAGCCGTTGAACGAGGCGCCGCTGTCCATCATGGACGGCGGCCCGACGCCCTCCAGCAGCTCCAGACTGCTGGTCAGGTCGGAGCTCTGCGCCATCACCGCGTGGGACATCTCCAGCGCGGCGGCCACCGCCGACGCGTCGCGCGCCACCCGCTGAGAGGTGGTCATACAGTCGGGCTCGGCGGCCAGCGTCGGTACCGGCACCGGCGGCGCGCCGGCCGACCGCGGCGCCGCGCCCACCAGGGAGACGCTCCGCTCCGAGACGGTCAGGGAGAGCGAGGAGGCGGCCGTCACCTGCACCTCGACGGGCGGCGGCGGCGAGGGCGAGCTCCGCGCCGGCTCCTCCTCCTCCTCTCCCTCACTCTCCTCGGAGGGGGTCCGGGTGACGCCGAGCGGCACGGGCGAGCGGCGGCGCCGGCCGCGCCGCGGGCGCCGCAGGCAGCTGCCCTCGGAGCGGCTCTTGGGCAGCGCGGCGCGTAGGCAGCGCTCCAGCAGGCGGGCGTCGGGCTCGTCGCCGCTGCTGGAGGCCTCGCCGTCGGAGCGCGTCTCCAGGGAGCCGACTGAACTGCTGCGGGAGAGCGGCGTGCCGTCGGCAGACATTAGACGGGTGCCCCAGCCGCTGCCGCCGCCGCCGCGACCGGTCTCCGCCGCGCCTGGGGGCGAACAGAGAGAAGCGTCAAAACAGGAATAAAGTTCGTTGAAACGACGAGCCATCGAGTGCAAGGTGCTATCCGCTACATGAATTCCTTATCAGACACATTGATTGGAATCCACCTTTTATCAGGCGCGAGTTCTTTTCAGTGATAGCAGCGATAAGCCGGATAGCTTAGTGACAGCTTTGGAGATTGCAACAAGTGAGTTCGGGTATAGAAGATCAAAGTAACTATGCCAACCCGGAGCCACGGACCGCGCCCGTTCCCGCTATGACCCCGTCGCCCAGCCTCCCACCCACCTCGGCCGGTGCCGGCGTTAGCCAGCGCCTCCTGCGCGGACGCCGCCGTCCACTCGGGCGGCAGGGCTGTGGTGCGGACGGGCCGGTCGGCGCGGCGGGGCGTCAGACCGGAGCCCTCCAGGTCCTCCACAGTGAGGTCGCCGTCCGCGCCCGGCTGCCGCTCCGAGCGCCTGAGGGCAAGCAGGGGTCAGTCTGATACGGAACGGACAATGGGAAAACGGGGTCAGCGCGGGACCAGCACCGAGTCCAGAGAGGAGGGCGGTGTCGCTACGACTGGCAAGAACGGTGCGTTAAAATCGGGTGTCGCCTAGCGAGGACAGCACCGCCGTGACGTCGTCTGAAAGCGGAATATGTGAAAAACACGACGACCAAACGAGCGCGTGGGCGTGTGACGTTAGCGTTGCACCGAGACGTGGGTGACATGTGACGTCATTACCTTATTTTGACTGGCGACGTGGGAGGTTGCCACTCGTGCTGAGTGGGTGCGATTTCACCGGGTTGGAGTGTTTTTGAGCGGCGTTTGATGACCTGCTAAAATGATTAGTAGGCACAACAGTGTTTGGGGTGGCGCCGAGCCAACCGTGACCGACGCATCTAAAACTGCTGGGCTTACTGTCGCGGCCAAGCTGTCACACGTGACTTATACCACAGTCAAAGAAACCACAAACTTTGAAACCTCGCAGCTAATTCAGGTCACACGAATGCGCCGAATCTGACAAGTTTTTCACGCCGTGTTTTGAGCTTGCCTGAGGCGCTGCCCGCTGTCGACAGCCGGTATCTATATGACCCGGGGTCTGATTTACGGCCTCAGTTGGCACCGGGCCCTCGTTCGCAGCTTGTCTGCGCGGTGGCCAAGTATATGTCCCGCGACATTCCGCCGCGGGCCGCGTCAGGAGGTCATCCGGTCGATACCCCCCCTATGACGTCACCAAAGGGGGGGGGGTCTGCTCCGGACAGGGCGCGGCCCGCCGGCGACAGGCGCGGTCGATACGGCGGGGACGGGCCGGTTCGCTCGCGCCGGCCCCTCGCCGGGCGGTGTGTGCACTGGACAGCTAATCACGAAACCCGGTCCGACTGGACACGCCCCAGCGGCCGCCGAGGGCCGTCACATCCAGCGGCGCTGGGACACGGCGTAATACACAGAAAACCGGCCACCGCACACAGAAACACGGGCCGATAGACCCCGGGGACTGCTGCTCGGGCAGCTCACAGATAGACGCGCAGACAGACCGGCAAACACACCGACAAATAGACTCGCCGACAGTCACTCACAGGCGCGCAGACAAACAGACAAACAGAGCTGATGGGGCCGGACGCGGTCAGCCGACACCCTGATTGGACATTGTCCAAACAGCCGCAGTCAGCCTGGCACACAGTACGGACCGACACGACAGCAGACTGGACTCGGACCGAACGGAGACGTCATACAGGCCGGGTCCACGTCAAAACAGCTAGTGACTATTGAGCTAGTGACTTTTGAGCTAGTACAAAAGAGCTAGCTAGTGCTTCAAAACAGCTAGTGAGAACACAGCTAGCGCCAAAATAGCTAGTAATGCAAAATAGCTAGTGCATTAAATCAGCTAGTGACTAAACAGCTAGCGTCAATAGAGCTAGTAGAGCAAAATAGCTAGTGCTTCATTATAGCTAGTCATAAGCGTAGGAACCATGGGTGCAGTGGGTGCAGTTGCACCCACAATAATTCTCCAGTGGGTGCAGACAATGTATTCTGCACCCACAATAATTTGGAACAAAAACCCCTTTTCTCATCAACACTACTTCCCATGCAGCACAACAAATTCAGGATATTTTGCCCACTTTCCACCTTTAGAAGCGTTCGCTACTGTGATGGTCTTCAAAACTTACATTTGCGCTCAAGTAAAAAAGGAAGCAACGGAACACGTGTGATTGAACACATACCGATGACCCACTGTCAAAAGTTTTAGCCCGATACCTATCTTCGAAAATGGCTAAGTTAGCCGCATTTAGGTACTTTTTGCGGTAGTCAATATTGACATTATCAACGCTTCTAAATACACTTATCATCGGTAGGTACCTTTTCGACATGGTACACCCTCAAAGCTCACAAGGAGCCTCCGCTCGGGTGCCGCTCCCTACCCCCTCCCCCCCCCCCCCCGGCTTCACCGGCCATGGCTGGATTTCTGCACCCATGCACCCACAATGTTCCAGCCGTTCCTACGCCCATGTACCTATAGAAATCGCTAGCGTCGACTAATAGCTAATAAGCAAAATAGCTTATTCGTAGAGCAGCTATTATAGGTTCTTTCCCGACGAAGAGTCCCCACGGGTAGAAGGAGCAGAAGAGCACCGTAGTTTGACAAAATTATTTGGAATGCTAGGAGGGCAGAGGACGGGATCCCTAGGACAAACAACAAATTAGAAGCGGGGCACCGGGGAATTAAAGAGATGGCATATCGCGGGAAATACATCTTTACAGTCATAGATATCTTGCGTTTTTGAAGCGAAGTGAATGGGAAGGGAACAGAGGTCCAACGAAATTGCTATTTTGACGATAGCTATTTCGTCACTAGCTGTCTTGAGGCACTAGCTCTATATGCTTCACTAGCTACTTTGACGCTAGCTGTTTTGTCACTAGCTGTTTCTAAGCACTAGCTATTTTGCTTCACTAGCTATTTTGACGCTAGCTGTTTTGTCACTAGCTGTTTTGAGGCACTAGCTGTTTTGTACTAGTTCAAAAGTCACTAGCTCAAATGTCACTAGCTATTCTGACGTGCACCCTACAGGCCGTGCCCCGGCCCACCGAGTCACAGCTGCTCTGTCCAGGCTGAATGTCAATGTGGGACACGGTGAGCCGTTCCGTCGTTTTCCCATTGTAACTTTGGACGGTGATCTGGCGGCCGGCCATTCGCGGCGAAATAGAACCACCTGAGAGCGGCCGACACGACCGCGGCGGAACGGGAACGTCTCTGAGAGGGCCATCCCCGGGAATATAGGGCCACCTGAGGGCGGGCCGTCTACGGCGAACAGAGCCATCGGACCGACTAACTAAACGCCGTGGGACTCGTACACCGGAGAGTTGGCCGTCCCCTGAGGACAGAGTGCGGAGAACCGAGCGCCGACGGCCGGACAGAGCCGACGGAGAGCCGACCGACATGACCGCGGCGGGGCCAATCGGACCGTACTTCTCTCTGAGTGGCCATTCACTCCGACCACACCGGGAAGCGGACTTAATGGCTCAATTTCGATCAGGCCCTTCCAGAGCTCCAATCCGGTGACGGTGAGCCAGGGAAGAGCTGTGCGATTTGGGCTAGCGGTCGAGACAGGACAAAGTTAGCACAAACTTCCAAACTCAATAAAAACGTTCCAAGAACGACCCAAAGCAGATCGCTGATGGGATATTACCCATAGTTTTTAGAATGGACACATACGTTCAGAAATCCACCGTTTGTTAGAGAATGAATTGTATGTTTCAAGGACTCCACAATTGAAGGTATATCCCTATTGAGCACAGTAAAACCCCTACTATCGTTCCTCACCTGTGGTACTGTTTGACGCTCCAGGTCTGCGGCAGCCGGCGGGGCAGGGACGAACCAGAGGCCACCCTCTGAGGTAGCCGCGAGCCGATGGGCCGGCCCGCCGCGCGACCATCCTGGAAAACGGAGCGAACACGTCACCGCATCAGCAACAAAACATAGGGAGATAACAATACCAGGACCATTAGGTATATGCCGCACATCCTGCATTAACATTAGCTGTTGGGGAGCGTCATCTGGTTTGCGTCTCACGGCACCCACCACGGTCCTCCTATCTCGGTCTCCCACCGCTCCCTCCCTCCCTCCCTTCCTCACACGCACACAAACTACAGTTGTGAGGGGAGACGCGATAGCATATCACGCGCACCTTACGGTCAAAGACCTACGGGACTGAGCCTGGAGTTAGCGCTATTTACAGAGTTCTTTAGTCAGTGACGCACAAATCTTCCGTAATCGCAAGAAGAAAACACGAGAAGAAATACTAAAACGGTCGTGCCATTCTGCATCGCCTTACTACAGAAGTTTCCACCTCTCCCGTCCGCACCGGCACCACCGTGATCAATGGACGTCAATCACATACAACTAGACGTCAATAAACCAATACTGCTTGACTTTCCGACATGTCCCGGAATATCGTGACCACATTAGGTAATGCGAGTCCCGAATTGCCCGATATAGAGCTCTGCCACAAGTCGATCATAAATATGTGCATACATATGAGTGATTTACTACGCCATCCCCACACTGCACCAAAACGGCGTAACTTTATACAGTTGAATCACTGGACGACATGAGTGTGATATGAGTAATACCACGGTGTATTTGGTTTATTTATATCCGCCATTCCCATGGCAATATATCTCGGTTCGCCACCGTTCCAAGGCCACCTGTCAGTATACGGTTCAGCCCGACGATAACGAACAAATACCGGCCGATATATCTGGGGTTTATTCTACTCCGATTGATTATATCGACTGGTACGGGCGGTTCTCCTGCCACGCTGGCAGACTGGTTCACTGATACTTACAGACAGCCCGCTCTGCAGACAGATTATCGCATAGTACGGATAATTCTCTCACGCCAAATAGCTGACTTAGACACATGAGGCCTTTTACATATGTCCGGAACGCTCACCCATTGACCAAGAGCTTCACAGTTACAGCCTGTGTTGACACAACTCGACAATAAATCCACAAACTGAGACCTAAACAATGCACAGTGAACCTTAAACCAAACAAACAAAAGTCGGGCATTGATGAGAACATGCATGGTCATCTCTCCAAACTCTGGAGGGTTATTCAGCCAACCGGACGAAACGCGACGTTTGCTTTGCTTTTGTTCAACACAATTCAGTGTTTATGTAACGTCATAAACAGTCAGACAGGAAGCAAAAGGAGCACCAAACAGGGACGAGTTCGATTGGATAAGGCTGATGACAGCTCTTCAACGACAATGTAATTGTGAACAGCAGACTGCACGGGACCATGACGGCTACGTAGGTCCGCTCACGGTCGCCTTTTGATGGCTCACCGACTGCAGGTCACCCGACTCAGCCTGCCCGCATTGCGTCTCTCGTTGTTAGAAGCAATAAAGCAAATGAAAATATTGGAGGTTTAGCACTGATAAAGGTGATATATGTGCGAGCGTCAAACCCTCACCAAGAAGAGCTTGTAGCGCTCACCACACCCGTGCTAAAGGCCCCTATATCCGCCCCAGTCTCAGTCTAAACGGCGCCACCACAGCCCATCAATTCCCCGCACCACCAGACACCAGCTTACACCGCGGGATCGACTGCTAACAGCGCGGCCTCCGCTAATGGTCCGCTAACGGCCGTAACTCAGTTACCTGCCGCTCAGGGGTATTCGGTGGATCCCGGCCTATGGTCGTCACCGGTCGTACCGGTGACCTATGGCGAGCGGCGGATTAAAGGTCAGCAGGGTGAGTGAATGGCAGAGTGGTCACTGTATTTATAGCGGACTGAATGGAACCGTTCGGCCGTACTGGAGAGGACTGAACTGGTGAGAGAAATATCATCTGCCTCAGTCAAATATTGGGACAAAGTTACCACGCTTCGCACGGTCTGAAAGTCCACATCTTTTGAGAGCGACCTTCGGGATTCTCCGTGAAGTTCAGTTCCATATATCCGACCAGCCTCGCGTGGTCGGCGGCCATTTCAGAGGAGCTTGGCCATACATACGGGCGGCCGGAGTGAGGGAGGGGGTCGTTACGACTCTGAACCGAGGGGCTGGGCGGCGCGGGCCGGCCGTGACATACTGCGCATTTACGGCAGTGTATCCGAGGAGTTGGACGGTTCAAAACAGCGGAGAAGTTCGGCCGTGGAATGACAGAGTTTATAGCCGAGTCGGTTATAGCTGGCGTGACGGCGGACCGTTCTCCGCCCGGTCAGAGCCGCGGCGGCTCGGCGGACGGCGGACTCGGCAACATTCCTGGTCGGCAGTGACACGCGTCACCCGTGGGAACCGTACGGGTCCGGCCGCCTCTCATCGTCTGCCAGTCACCGTAAACGGGCGCCTCTCCACAGCGGCCCTGGGACGGCGCCGGTGCGGGCTGTGCTAAAGATGAGTATGCCGGCTCTGTTACTGAGGAAGGGAATGGGTGTCGCTCTGTTATCGCTGATACCGTGGAGGACCGGTCGCTGTCGCTCTGCTACCGCTCTGCTACCGCTCTGTTACCGGGAAGACGAACAGGTGCTGCTCCGTCACCGCTCTGTTACCACTCTGTTACCGCCGAGGACCGGCGGGCATCGCTCTGTTACCGTGGAGGACCGGCGGGTGTCGGCCTCCTCCCGTATCGATCCGCCGTGCGGCGCAGATGGCGATCGCTCCGTTTGTCAGACCGTACAGGACGCAGCAGACCACACAGAGAGCTGGGACAGACGGACGGAGAGCACACCCACCTTGGTTTGGTCGCGCTGGAACATGGCCCCCGACTTCTGTCCTCCGGCCGCCGGCGCCGCCGCTCTGCCGTCGCCCACCGCTGTCGGCACCGGACTGACGGCCGCCGGCACCGGACTGACGGCTGGCGGCGCTGACACCGCACTGTCTCCGAGAGGACCTCCCGGTCGTCCCGTCACTGACCGGACCGCAGCGCCCTGCCGACACAACACAGGCTCAGCAGGACAGCAGGGAGCTGCCGACACGACACGGCGCTCAGCAGGACTGCACCGGCGCCCAGCGGCGACACGCCGCAGCCGCCGCCGGCCGGGGGTGTCTATCGATCCACTGCGCCTCCTCCAGCGCGGCGGGACGGCCGATTTTCCACGCCAGCTGGCCGACGCGGCGCCTCACAGCCGAACACGCTTCACCAGACAAACTAGTCCGGTTCAGCCGCGGTCTGATCGGGACGCAGTGAGCTCCGTCTGGTTCAGCCGCCGCTGGGTTTGGTGCTCGTCCAGCGGCCGCCGTCACACTGCCGTCGTTCGCGACACGCCGCCGCGACTCGGGCCGACCGGCGCCGGACACGACTCCGCGAGCCGGCGGGGAGCGCGCGCGCGGGCGCGGGAGCGGGAGTGGCCAGCGGCGCGCGGTGAGCCGTGCCCAGAGAGCGTGAACAGAGGCAGTGAGCGACGACGGGCCGGGCGGATCGATACGGGCCGCCGGGACGGCAGGGGACGGGATACGGGGACGGCGGGGAATCCAAGGGCAGAGCTGCACAGGCCGGGATAGAGGGATAGCCGAGCCACGGACACCCAGCGGGATAGAGGTCCGGGGAACATACATGGACGGCGGGGAATCCGAGGGTAGAGCTGCAGACTGCAGAGGCCAGAATGCAGAGACAGCGTGGGTTATGAGGACAGAGCCAGAGCTGTACGCCCGGGACTTAGAGAAGTGGAAAAGCTGGATGGATCCAGTAGATCGGGGTATAGCCACGAGATCAAGACAACGAGGAACTCCTGTCGAGTCAAAAGAACAGCGCAAACTTACGGGAGTTGTTGTGAGACCGGAGGTAACTGTGAGGGAGGGCTGGAACGAGATAAGATAGAATGGGACGAAAGCACTACCTCCTCTGTTGGTGACTGTTCGACTGACTGAGGCCGGTTCCAGCTCGGCACCACCGGGAAGTGCCAACCCAGTGCGGCTGGTACCGGTGACCAGCGGTCAGCGCGAGCCGGCGAGCAGTGACCATCCGAGCCGTGACCGGGGTGAGCGCCGGCCCGGCGCGGCGGTACCGGTGGACGCTGGCCGTCCCAGCCGTGACCGGCGGCGCCGGAGCTCTCACGCCGCTCCAAGCCGCCCGCCCGGCGGCCCGGAGACAGCTCTCGGCCCGAGTCGCCCGTCCCGGCACGAGCCTGACCCGGTCTCCGGCCGCCGGACGCGCCGTGACACCCCGCGGCACCGTCCAGCGTCCCACAGGAGCGCGCGCGAGAAACCGTGCAATGCGGGTGGGAACGGGGCCGGCGCTCGCCTCGACCCAGCGCTGGACGGCGCGAAATGGGGCTGGAGGTGGGCCATCAACGGTGAAAAGCGGCAGCTCGACAACAAAGAGCCGCGGAAAGGGAGCGGAGAAGGCTTGAGAACTGGCTAAAAAGGGAAACTGCGATGGCCATGGCTTATGCCTGTTGCAGGGTATCAAAGGGATGCTGGGAATCGTTGAAAGAGTTCTTCCGTGTCAATGACTCAGATCAGGACTGTCGAGATGAAAAGACCTGCTGAATTGGTTCCACATGAAGCATAAGGCTTCGGAACATTAGGAGTAAGCTTTGTTTGTTTTGTTTGTTTTGTTGGGTTAGGCCCTTTCGGTCCAATTAGACCATTTCAGAGCCGGAAGGATGATAGGAATTAGGGGGAGACATTGGTCTGGGCAGGCACCCTAGTGAGTCGCCGGGGCTGAGCCCGTCCAGAGGACAGGCCACCCAGCCCCAAGGCACTCACTGCACCCGGCTACGGGGTGCGCTCCCTCGGGAGCAGCGGTGCCGCTCCAAGGGAGCAGCCCGCATGAGATAAAGTTGCCTGTCCAGCCCGGAGGGGGGTTGCGGCGTGGAGGAGAAGGACTTCAGTATCCTGAGGATAGAAGCACGGAACGGTGGAGTAAGCTTTGTACCTATGTATTACCTAGTTTAGACGATAAATCACTCTGACCGAACTGTCATGAACACCAAAAAGCAAATGCGAGCCTAATAACAAACAAGCATGTGAGCGACAAGAACAAAAACAAAAATCAATAAATAGCAGTAAATGTGACTGACCTTGACCATCGATCCGGGCGCCATCAAGCGGCTGGGCTGCGCTGACCTCGTCCCGCCGGCGGCGGCAGGTCGGTCCGACGGTGGCGCCGCGCTGCGGCCGGTCGGCGCACTATCGGCCAGCCTACAGAGAACCATGGCGGGGGAGCGTCAGCGGGCGACTGGCGGTGTATACCGCGACACGGCCGGACCGGGCCGCGCAGCTGCGCCACATACCGCACACCACACAGGTGCGCGGCGACCACCGGCGACAGGCCGCGGATGGAATACCAGAGGGGACAGACGTCGACACCGACACAGATCGACAGCACAGCCCTGATAGATCGGGTCCAGAGAGCGCAATAGAGGGCACAGCAGACACGCGCCTTGACGACAGCGATCATGATATCGTAATCGGAAACTTGACTGAACAATTTTATTACACAGGAAACCTAGCCAACGTCACACTCACTTCTGAAAGGTTAGGGGAGAGTGGGGTAAGATGCCCAGGGTGGGAAAGACGCCCCACCCCCTCTAGCGGCAAAACAAAGAATCGAACCTGGAAATTAATGCTCTTAGCGTAAAGCGGAAGCCTGCCTTGTTAACTGCACAAAAATTTGCGAGGCTCAGTTGGGCAACGGCTGGCTGGTGATTGCATGTTTTTTATTTGCTGCTTTCAAAAAGTATTTTGGTGTCAAAACATTGTAAATATCAAAGAAGGTAGATAATTTTTGCGTCCCTTGCCATAGTCGTGATAAATTAACATGCGTGTACTGTGTCCCAAACAGTTTGTTTCAGGGTGTAGTTTTATGGCTAAAAATTGTACTGATTTAATGTTACCTCGGTACCTTGGGGTAAGATGCCCCCTGTCCTGATGGGGAAAGACGCCCCCCTAAATCCGTAGGCTGTCCTTCAAGCAGCCCGTCAAATCATTTATTACATACCTGTGATGAGAGACAAAAGCCGATCTGGGACTATTGAGAGTCCAGTACGGTCGGGTGCTCCCCATGCCGGTCTCTCGGCCCACACAGCGACTTTTTGGGCGGCATCTGACTCTGAGAGCCCTTACGACGGCCTCTGTGGGCCACATTATTGGCTCCAGGGCCCCTCACGACATCCTTTGAGGGCTCCCACGTTGGCTCCACGGGCCGCGCTGGCATCTGATGTCCCCACGATGGGCTCGAGGGCCCTCAAGCATCATGAAGACCTATAAGGGCCCCACAGTGGTCTCCGAACGCCACCACGGAGGCTTGTTTGGCCGCGCTGGACTATGATGGCCCTAACGATGACCTCTGAAGCCCCTTACGACTACTTTTGAGGGCCCTTACGATGACGTTTGGTGTCTACTGCAGGCCCGAAGGGACTACTGATTCGTTCAGGCGATTCACGTGCCCATTTATGTCACTTATATTGCAGGGGGCATCTTACCCAACGCCAGGGGGCGTCTTTCCCACCCTGTGGGGTAAGATGCCCCCTTTCACTTCTTCAGGAAAATGCTTAATAGCAAAAAAAGTTATCATATTTCAAGCACGAAAGTGTGATATTTTTGGAGAAAAATGATGTCGGCTTCCGTTGAAACTACAAGTTTTTGCTTTCCGATCGTCATTTTCGAATAATATATGACATAGTAAACCCCTGGGCATCTTTCCCCACTCTCCCCTACATGGAGTCCCAGTTCAAACAAGTTGCCGCCCTCCCAGTTCCCAACATCCCCTCCCTTGTGTTTTGCGCCTGGAGTCCGGCCCTGTCGTCCTGGAGCCTGGGGCGAGTTATCCTCCACCCGTTCCCCAGACGCCACTGACCCACTGTCCGGTACCATGACCCCGACTCCTGGTTCAGGTGTTCCCACACCTGCGGCGCCGGCTGACTGCATGCTGTGTATACAGGACCGACGGTGGGTAAATGTAACCACAGCTGTGTGTGTGGCTGTCACCGAGCGACGGCTGCTGTCGTCACCCCTCCCCTCCACCCGAACTCTGCCTATCACCACAGCAGACCACCAATCACTAATCACCAACCAGTAGCAAACCCACCACCCTCCACCCATCATTCTGTGGCGCCCACCCACCACCCACCGTCCCCACCCATCAGCGGGCAGTGCCCACCCATCGTCCCCCACCATCAGAGTGGCACCCACGACCGCACGTGTCGGGTGTGACAGGTAGATAATTGACGGGTGACGGCCGGCGACGGGCCGCCAGCACCTAATTGGGTCGGCGGTGACGGGAGGTCGAGGCCGGTCATTCCGATACCATTGGCAGTGCGATCAATGACAGTCAGATATGATCAGTGATCGCCGCAGCCGAGACACCGCGCCGGACGGAAACCGATAGCCGTTAGAACGTGAATGGTGAGCAGGCAAGGAAATATTCCGAATCGATTAATTTGTGGTCAGAAGCGGGAACACTGGCTAGCAGTATCGGAGACCAGAATGTTAGCTTATTTACCGTGCATTGACTGATGTCGGCGGATCCGAGAGTCAAGTGAGCGCTCACCAGTGAATCTGGGAATATTGATGGTTATAAAGTGATAGGTTTATGGATGTGATTTGTTTTGCAATTACCGGTCACAGGGACTTCACCCACTATGTCCCGGATGTGGTAGCACTATCGAGGCCGTGGGATCGCCGAAACTGCGTCAGCACGGATTGCGTGATGGTATCGATTCGGTAAGTGGGCGCACGCCGAGCGCTGTCCGCAGTTCCCACATTTACCGAATAGATGGGCACATTAGCGCCGGCCAGAAGTGCCATCTCAGCGCTTCCGGCCCGGCTGAGTTGTGTGCGAAACTCGAGACAGCTAACGGTCTCATGGCACATTCCGAACGTCTTGCTTCCACGAAATGGCTAGGGTCGCTAGCGACTAGCGACACCCGCTCCGCCGCCCAGGGCCCGATCTGGATCATGCTCGAACAGTGGCTTATGGCATATTCGGCTACCTTATCATCCACCGCAAACGAATTGAACATGGGATCGAATTAACCGCCACGTGATTATTTCCGACGGAATCTGCATCTGAAGACGTCAGAGGCCGGCACCACCAGCTGACTACCCTGCAGTCGAAGCAGCAGCTGCCTGGCGATCCCACTGAGGTAATGATACGAGTTAAGACACTAGTCGCGCGACCATTTATGTGTGCAGCCGCTGACCATCTGTGTGGGTAGCCGCTGCAGCCGCTGACCATCATGTGATCTGGACGGTGCCAAACATCCAAATGTTGAGTGTGGCATGGCATCGGGCCGGACGGCGATGTTTGTCTGTGTGTTTTTTTTCTTTCGCAGAAGGGATGGGAGAGGAGGGATTGTAAGAGCACGGGGACTAGCTGCTTTTTTGTTTTGATCTGAGTTGCGTGCCTTGCCTCTTTATGAAGGTTTCATGTCTGTGTGAAATAAATGTTTTGAAAAAAAGAGGTAATGATACGAACTGTAACCCCCGAATGACTCGCCTTCGACGACATCAGAGGTCGGCACAGCAGCCGACCATCCCACCGTCTGAGCAGTGGTCCCACCGAGGTAATGGCCCGAACCGCGATCCCTCAACTGATTCGGCCGACATTACCAATCTTTTCCGCCACGTCCAACTGGCGTTTGATGGGCTCTCCGCTCCGGCCGACCGATAAAGGCGGCTCAACTCCTACTCGCAGTGGACCCAGCGACTCCTGAACTCTGGGGACGTATGCAACAACGCGGAAGCGTGTTTCTATTTTTGAACTGTATGTACGTACATCGCCAAAATATGCGCTAATAGGGCAGTTTCATAAGCATGGCAATCGGCCATAGCACCCACTACCAAGTTCTCAGCCGACATCAATGTTAACTACGTAATATCATGATGGATCATCATGAATGTCTCTAAAGCCCCACCGCTGTGCTCCGCCCAGGTATCGGCTCAGCCCTGCTCCCAGTGTGTATCAGCTGGGCGCCCGGCCAGCTGGGCCCCTGTTTAGTTCTGACGTGGCTCTCAAGCTCCACAGTCACCTGTACCACCCGTCACACAGCCCCCGCACGGTCACCCGTCTCACCTGTCGTTGTCAGTCGTCTCTGCGGAGTCCTGGAAGCCCCTGGTATCGCCCGCCGCCCGGTCCACAGCTGCGGCCGACGGCACCCGACCGCTGACGTCGCCACCTGCCGACGGTTTGGGAAGGTAGAACACAGCGGCCCGGAAGGCGATAAACAGCCACCCACAGGCGACAAGCGCTAATCTTATGAGGGCCCCTTATCTAACTCGACACCTACCTACATGGTGGTCACCTCCGGTTCTAATCATTCAAAGGTAAGCCTTTTTATCAGAGCGTTTCGAGTTCAGCCACAAACATGAAGTATCTAGGCATGACGTTCGAAAACCCACAGCTGGTGACGTGCTGACCCGACCCACCGTTGGCGTCTGACGTCCGGCTCGGCGCGGGCGCCTGAGTCCGCAGCCGTCCGGGCGGTGTGCCGGCGCGCGGCAGGCTGGGTGACCGCGGCCCGTCGCCGGGCCTCCGCTGCGGCCGCGGGGAGCCTCCCGCCGCCCTCTGGAGCGGCGAGTCCCCGGCGGTGGCGCGGCGCGGCAGGCGGCCCGGCGGCCGCGCAGGGCCCGGTGAGGAGGGCCCGGCGCGGGCCGCGGGCCGCCGCGCCGGGAACGGGGAGCTCAGAGTGGGGTCGTCCGAGTCCGGCTGGTTACTAGACGACGTGGCGTCACTCAGCTGGGAGCTGTGGAACGGACACAGAACAACGACCGTCACAGTACAGTCACCTCACGGCTCACGACACCGCATTTGAAATCAAGAGGCAAGACTCATCACTTATTATGGTAAAATTGACTAAAAAAAAAGGCCTTAAGCTGCTATAGAAACACAATTAGATATAAAAACGGTAGATAAGTTCTAACTTTCGCTGATGGCTATTTTATCCACGATAACTGTGACAACGTTTCGCTTTTGAGCGTCTAAGTATCACGCTGGCGGTGGTATCCCGCTCAGCGTCACCGGAGCGAACCGTGTACCTACTAACCTGAACTCGGCGTACCCGGAGCTGGGCTCAGTGGTGGCGCCACTGCTGCTGCCGGCCGACCCGGCGCGCGCCAGTCGGGCGGCCGGCGGGGCCCTGCGCCGCCGCTCCGGCGTCAGCGTCGGCTCGGTGACGTCCGAGGAGAGTCCGCTGAGCGCGCTCAGCGTGCTGTCCGTGCAGCCACGCACCGTGTCGCCGTCCGAGGCTGGGTCGCCGTCCGGCTCCTCTGACTCGTCCGGCGCGGAGGGAGCCGAGCGGTCCTCTGCGGAGAGCAGACCCACGGCAGGGCTGTCCTCGGTGGGGTCCTCGGCGGGGATGTCCTCGGCGGGCAGGTCCTCCGTGGGTATATCCTCGGCGTCCTCCTCAGTCGCCTCCTCGTCCTCCTCCTGATCCTCCTCCCCCGGCGGCGGGGGCTCCTGCTCGGCGGGCAGGTCCCTGTCGGCCGGGCCCGGCGGCCGCTCCAGGCCGACCAGGGAGCGGACACGGGGCAGGGAGCCGGCCCAGCCGGCCGCCGGCCGCAGCAGCCGGCGGCGCAGCTCGGCCTCGGAGACCCCGGCCTGGCGGGCCGCCTGGCGGACGGCGGCCGCCAGGCGCGCCTCGCCGCGCCGCTCCAGGCCCGGGTCGGAGAGCGAGCTGAGCACAGAGTCGCCGCTGTCCGAGCGGGGCACGCGCCGCGCCGGCGGCCCGGCCGTGGCCAGGAAGCGCGCCTCGGGCCGGCCGGCGCTGGCCGAGTCCAGGTTGTCGCAGGTCTCGGCCAGGCCGCCGGCGTGCAGCTCCTGCTGGAGGGCACGCAGCCGGCGCGCCGGCAGTCCGGGCGTACCGGCGGCGGCGCCCGGCTCCGGCGGCGGCACGCCCTCCGGCCGGGCGGCCAGCAGGTTCTTGAGCGCCGCGCTGCTGCCCATGGCGATCATCTGGTGGCGGCTGTGGATCAGCGAGCGCAGCATCGACACGGCGCCCAGCTCCCAGAGGGTGCGCTGGTCCTGGGCGCAGCGCGCCGACAGGTTCCACAGCGTGCCGCACGCGTTACTGACTATGGTCAGACTGGAGGACTTGAGCTGCTGCAGCAGCGTCTCCAGACAGTTGTGCTCCCGCAGGATAGCCCTGTGACAGCGGGTGGAGGCCGGAGGGTCAGTGGTGACGGCCGACGGAGATAAAGTTACAGTTCGTTCTCAACACTCGAAAGTGGTCGGCATTCCCCTATTCACTGTTGATGCATTTTGACGGCTATGCAACTGCGGCACATTAACAATTACATTAAACCAATAAAATTACCAATGCATCACAACCAATGATTGGATGCTAACTCTATAAAACCCCCTGAATCTGTCCCTTGTTTAATCTCCCGAAGCTTCCACTCTCTTAGGTACCTGTAGTCCTCCCTGCCGGCGATGTGGCTGGACATGTTGCGCAGGATGCCGCCGCCGTTCTCCACGATGGCCGTCGTCTTGGACGGCGACTGGTACGTCAGCGTCTTCACCAGGAAGGCCAGCGCGCCGTCCACCGCGCAGATGTCGGCCTGCGGTCAGGGCGGGACGAGCTGAGCGGGGGTGGCCGAGACACAGCGGCACGCTCCCGGCGCCGGTGGCACCATTTATCGCCAGCCGAGCCAATACTGTCAGGGAACGGCGGCGGGCGGTGGGCGGAAATACGGAGCGGCGCCGGAGCGGACCGGGAACATCAGAGACTGATTAACAGTGGCACTGTCGGGGCAGATCGAGTGTAGCTGCGAATAACAGCGAATGGAGAGCGAAGCTTTAGGAACGAGGGCTGGAATGACGGCATCTGCAAAATGCACCAATTATGGATACTCATGTGCGCATGTAAACGCTTTATTAAAATTCAATGCTTATGATTTGCATAAGCATGTTGACAAATTGATGCAACGGCTTATGTATGAACAATTCCATGAGAATTTGAAATATGGAAAGTAGAATATGTGCATAAATTTGAAGAGTTTGGAACCAACTCGTAATAATCTGAGAGCGATTACCATACAAAACCTCACCTAAGCATTCGGGGATTTTCCGTTCCAAGGAACGCCCCATAGCACGAAAATGCATCGGACCTTTCTATACCATAGAAACAACAAAAACATGCGAATAACAGGCGGCAGCGTCGCCATCTTCCCAGCCCCCAGATATTACACTGCACTAATTAGACCCACCCGCTCCGCCTCCCAAGCCCCTATCTTTTCAACACCGCAGTGATCTAACAACCCCGCACCTTGTTCATGCCGCAGTGGGCCGACAGGTTCCAGAGCGCCGAGAGCACCGATTTGAGCGTGGACTCGCGCTGGGCGGCCATGGCGGCCTGCGTGAGTGCCGTCACCGCCCCCACCTCCCGCAGCGTCTGCTTGCTGGCGGCGTCCGCGCGCCACGACAGGTTACGCAGCACGCTGGCAGTCACCTGGAGAATGGCAGAGACAGGGCAGGTCAGGTCAGGTCAGAACAAACCGTGCAGGGGTCTGAACTGGCTTGAAAAATAGGAAATGAAACCCGGTCATAATGCTGTTAATAAGAGCGCTCCGACTAAAATGCGCAATGCTGGCCACATTTCGAGGTTAATCCACAGTAATTTAAGTGCATGTCTATAGCCGTCCAACTGCAAAATTTCGACCAAGTGTGAATACTGCGATCAACTTTCGGTCATGGACGAGTTTTGGACGGTAGAACGTAATCGACGACTCGCCTGCGTGAGGTCCTCGTTGGGCGAGTGCAGCTGAGCCACCAGCGCCCTCATGAAGCCGCGGAGGCCGCAGAGCAGCGCCTTGTTGGTGCCGTCCCCGAACGTCAGGTTGGTCAGCGTCATCCCGGCGAACCTGGCCGTCACACAGTCGGCCGTCGGGTCACAGAGAGGTCACAGGTCACACGGTCGGGTCACAGAGAGGTCACAGGTCACACACGGGTCACAGGTCACACACGGGTCACAGGTCACACACGGGTCACAGAGAGGTCATAGGTCACACAGTCGGGTAACAGAGAGGTCACAGGTCACACACGGGTCACAGAGAGGTCACAGGTCACACAGTCGGGTCACAGAGAGGTCACAGGTCACACACGGGTCAGACGGTAAGTCAAAAGGCCGCAGCTCAACGCGGGTTACACACCGGGGTACAGAATGCAGCTGGTCCACCAACAGGAAACAGGTCACACGCTGCCACACGGTCAAGGCGAGGTGCAATCATGCCTGACAGCGGCAGCGCAGCGGTCCAATAAGCTCCATCCTAATGTCGTGCTCAATGAATGGGGAAATGACGGCCGTCGAGGCCAGATTTCCGGCTGGTGGCGACAGAAAGTGTGACTGATCAGGACAGGCCGGGGAATGGTCAGCGCGTCAATCACAGAGAATGACGGGGAAGGCTGGCAGGGCGATAGTTACTGTGGGAGCTATTGGGGCAATCAGTAACGAAAACTACGCCGCAAAAACAGTGCAGTAGTATAAAACTGTGCATTAACTACATAAATCAAAGAAGACGCTGCTATGACTATGACATTACTGGCTCCTCCGGCCTGCCCCTCCTTCTGTCCCTTTCCTTACCTCCTGGTGCTGTTACAGGTGAGGTGAGCGGTAGCCGAGCCGTGCGCCTCGTGGTCGGCCTGTACCAGCTCTGCCACCGTGTACAGCCCGCCCAGCTGACACATAACGGTGCGGTGCTCCTCGTCAAACGAGAGCTTCATCAGGGCCACCACCGTCGGCACCGGGTGGTGGTCCAGAGAGTCTGACGGGGAGGGGAGGGGTCAGAGGGGGGTCAGAGGGGGGTCAGAGGGGAGTCAGCTGGGGTCATCAGGGCCACCACCGTTGGCACCGGGTGGTGGTCCAGAGAGTCTGACGGGGAGGGGAGGGGAGGGGTCAGAGGGGGATCAGAGGGGGGGGGGGTCATCAGGGCCACCACAGTCGGCACCGGGTGGTGGTCCAGAGAGTCTGGAGAGTAGGAGGGCAGACTCAGTCAGGGGACGCGGAGCATGACTTTCGGGTGAATATCAAGCTGAGGGGTGTTCACGGGCACCGCACACTGCTGCGTGCGGTGTGTGCGGAGCGTCCAGCAGGCGTGGGGGTAGGGGATGGGTAGGCGGCTCTGACGTCACGGCTGCGTGCGGTGGACGGTCCGCTGTGGCCAGTCCCGACCGGCCACAGCGATCGCTGTGTGCGGTGACGGAAGGCTGACGTAGGGACGCAGTGGGCGGAGCTTGGAGGCTGTGTGCGGTCCGACCGCACACAGGGCCCGTGAACAGCCCTCTGGTGAAATTCGCTGTAAATACGGGTAACAGAATGAAAAATACTGCATGCCGACTGCCGAGGTAAACCCTCTAAATAATATTATGCACAGAAAGTAGCGTGCAAATATCAATAAGCGCCAGCGCAAACATCCAGTGTTTTTTATGCAGAGGTCTACCGCTTCACAAAAACAACCGCAAAAGGTCAACACGTCCCTTAGTCAATAGCGCTCGATATCCTTATCTGAAATCTCTTATGAAAACACCCAGGGGGCCTCGCACTATCAGCCTGCCGGCTGCCACAACAGCCATGGATATTCTGGAGACGATCCAAAGTCTCTCCCTAGCTCCTCCAGTGACCTCAGCACCTCCCTTGTGACCTCACCGTCCTTCAGGAGACCGCCAGTGACCCGCCCTCCCACCTACCTACCTTCCATGATCATGCCGGTGCCGCCCTGTTCGTCCATCCGCTGCCACAGGCTCTCCGTAAACTCGCGCAGCTGCTCGAGCAGGCGGAGCACGCGCGCCTCCCGGCGCGTCCGCTTGTCGTCACACTGCGAGTGCACCAGGTTGTGCAGCGCGTGCGACGCCGACGAGCGCACCTGTCGTGCGGAGAGACACGGGGTGTCAGCGGCGGGGGCCCAGGGAGGAGGCCGGGAGGGGAGGGATGATGAGTGAGTCTTCAGCGGGGAAGGGAAAGGGAGGAACGAAAAACGACGCCAACCGTCGTGTAACCAATGCTCAAGCATGACGACACGGGGAAATATGGATTATGGAGCAAATGCCGACCTAGGGAAATAACGTCAACATGTCACTGTCAACATGTCACTGTTGCTATGTTATCGGCTCAGCCGCCCGGCCCCTGGATGGACTTATATCACCCCTGTTATATCCTTACCATTATATCATCACTGCCCCCTCACGCCACACGCGATCACGCGTCACCCGGAGACTGGCAGACGCCGCGTTACACAAACACACCGGGCCGTGTGGCCGTGTGGCGGGGGACAGTCAGCGCCCGGTGACTCATGAGCAGCACTGAGTGACGAGGGAGGGAGCCGTAACTCGGCACACGTCAGCCGGGCAGTGCGTGCAGCTGGCCGTCAGTCGTCTGTGGCATACTGCAGTCAGCCGTCTGCGTTATGTCAGACCACGTCACCCAGCGCTCGGTAACGCAGCGGTAAACCACGCCGACGAGGGGCTCGGTCACACGACGACCGTATGTCACGAACCAAACAGCTGTCGTATCGCAGCAGACACGCGCACCAAATGGACGTGAAGCGGCCTTTATCTCCCGGAGGCAGTGACACGCTGCAAACGGACGGCGCTGTGTGGGGTAAAGGCTTGTTCACACAGGCTGACAGACAGCTCCGGTGCTGCAGCTGACAGAGCTGTTACAGTCCCGTCAAGTCCAGGTGTCAATGTCGGTAATATCCGTCAGCCCGGATAAAGGGTGCCAGCGTCACGGACATGTTATGAGAGTTGTATTTAAGTCTGTTTGACACGCGTGAACACACGCCTATTTTCAATGTTTACTCTACAACGCACCAAACCGGGTTCACAAACATCTTACGCGTTTTATGTGTAATTATTGGTTATTAGCAGAAGCCTGTGATGACAGCATAAAAAACATGGTTTGATTATCGACGATGAAATGCCAGCCTTTCATCAAAGGCGCCTTGAAGTGCTGCCACCAACCGCGCTCCCTCGGTGTTCCCATACATTAGGCTGCGTTGGCAGCTCTGTTTATACGTGTTGCCGGTGAGGTTGGCAGCCGGCAGCGGCATTAATCTGGTCCGACACTCGGCAATTTCAGACTTCATTAGTGCTCACTCGGCCTCGTGTCGATACGACCCCGGCGGTGTGGCTCGGCGGGGAGCCGGCTGACACATCCAGTCCTCTCGTTTCACGGGCCCTGGTCGCGCTTTGGATAACGAAGGGTCTATAAGGCGTCATATCATTGTTGGTGTACGCCTGCATGGAGAACGTCCATTTCAGCTCTGCAAAAATAAGAACAACCAGGAACCCACATTGCGCCGTTTGAGTTTTTAGCTGCGGCCCCAGAAGTTAACCTCCTGTTCACTTTTGGCGGATATCGACCGTGAGTGTGCCGTTCGTTCCGCTGCTATGACGATCCCTTAGTGTTATTACACAGGTGTCGATAAGTACATACACGGGCAGTGCCACACCACCACTCAGTCACCTGCACATATGGATAGGTATGCACGGCCATGAAGAACACAACGGCAAGAACAGAGCGGTCCACAGCTGTTCTATCAACTGCCGGCAACGGTGGTCGACTCTTCATTTCGTAATATCCCCACTTCCCTCTTCAGTCGCCTCTCTCACTCTCTCCTTCCTTCTCCCACCTCCGTAATCTCCCACGGTTCCCATAACCCGCCCAGCGCGCCCACCCAATATCGCGCCGCACTGCATATTGGACGGACATGGCCGGCGGTGTGGCCATATGGCGTCCCTGCTGGGGACACGGCTGCACCGCCCGCCCACACATCGGACCGCCCTCTGTCTGCATGACGCCATACATCCTACCCGGGGTCGGCGCAGACAGCTCATCACAGCAGGGGAATGGAGCTGCTGCGGATATATGGCCTCATCATCGGTGTACGGGGTAGGTCCCAAAGAACGTCCGATATTTAGACTAGTTTATGAAAGATGGGCGATTATTTTCCATTCTGCTCTTCTTGATGTGAACTCAAGATTTTCGCGATTGATTATCGATGGTTTATTTTTTTTTATCGCGCTGACCTTTCCGGGCCGATCTCATCTCCCGTCGATTTTAGCCCAGACCCGTCCCGCTTTATAGGAGGGGCGGGTGCACTATGGTTTTATCTCGTTTTATCGGCCGGCAGTCCCCGGCCGCTGCAGACGCCAGAGGCTGGTCGAATCTGGTCTGGTCTGCTCTGGTCTGGTCTGGTCTGGTCTGCTGTTGTCCCCTCTCCTCACCTGTCGGTCGGGCCGGGGTCGTGTGCCCGCCGGCGGGCTGGTCTCTGTGGCGTGTATGAGCCGCACGACCAGCGGCAGGCCACCCGACTGGCGCAGCGCCGCGCAGCTCTCGGCGCTCGACGACATGGTGAGCAGCGCGCTGGTCATGGTCTGGCCGTCAGCCGAGTGGAGCAGGTGCAGCAGCGACAGCGAGACCGGCTCCGAGACCTCGCCGCCGCCGGCCGACAGACGCAGCGGAGACGGCGGCAGCGGGCCCACAGACGACTGGGGGTGCAGAGAGGGGTGTTAGAACGGACGGAGGCCGCGGACCGACAGACTGGGCGGCACAGAGGGGCGTCAGAGCGAGCAGGGGACGACGGCAGCAGGCCCACAGACGACTGGGAGGCACAGCGAGAGGTGTTTGAACAGACGGTACAGAGGGGCGTCAGAGCGAGCAGGGGACGGCGGCAGCGGGCCCACAGATGACTGGGGGGTGCAGAGAGGGGTGTTAGAACGGACGGAGGCCGCGGACCGACAGACTGGGCGGCACAGAGGGGCGTCAGAGCGAGCAGGGGACGACGGGCGGCGCCGGCGGGGAGGGCTGTGGTGGGGGATATTTGGAGATACAGACGGCGATGAGAGCGACAGGTGGCGGGTGTTGATAGTCGGGAGGGGAGGGGAGAGGTGCGAAGAGAAGCTTCCAGACAGAGCTGACGTGGGACGCAGGGAGAGGGGCCTCAAACGAGTTTGGACAGGGTAAAATAATGGGAGAGATAAGGGGGTATAACTCCTTCAAGCTGGCGAGGAGCGAGGGCTGGCTCCCCTAGGCTTGGGAGCTGTGTCTCCGTAAAGCTCTGAGCTGGATGGAAGAACATGAGAGATGCGCTGCCCCCCTCCGTAAGAAAGGCGTCTCTCACGGCGTGGGCGGAAGACAGAGGTGGTGAGCCTCGGTAATGTCACGCTAGGATAGAAACGGACACGATGTGTAGCGGGTCAGGGCTGGGGGGAACAGGCACGATAGTGAGCGAACCGGACCGTGAACCGAGCTCACACGCTGAGCAAATGGACCGAGACTGACAGCAGTGCACAGAGACGGACACGGCCTGCGTAAAACGGCCGGCGATTAAAAACGATTCAATGCTGTCTTCGGTGGAGCTTTTCAATAGCGCAAGACCTAAGACAATTATGATGAAAATACATGAACCCGTAGAACTTTCATCTCAGCAGACGAGAAAGTCACCATCAGCAGAACTATGGTGAAATACTTTCGTAAATGCATTGAATTCACTATTATGAATGTTACGGTGCCCTTGATTTTGCGTCTCAACTCGCAAGGGCATGCCAGATCAAACGACTCAGTTACAGAATTTGTGTCTGAACAGAGTGAGAGCCATGCCGTTCCGGTTCCCATTCCAGCAACTCGGCCATTGTGACAGCACGAAATCGTCAGCCATTTCAAAACATCTCATTTCAGCTGAATTGCCGGGATCTTGGGAGCGTTGTCAGCTGTAGAAATGCATGACATAGCGAGCCTATCTCGTTTGTCGCCGGCCAATCTCCCGAGCTGGCCATAAATAGACGGGTTCGCGGGGTGGGCCGCCGGGCGCACTGTCTGGGTTTGGGGAGTCCGCCGCCGTCCGTCATCGCCCTGTGACGTCAGATGTGACACTGACCCAGACGGTCAGGGCCGCCTCGGGCGTCTGCGGGGTCAGCTGTGCCCGGGCGGGGCGGCAGTGGGCCGGGGATGGCAGACACCCAGAGCGGCGCCTCGAACGGCCCTGGGTTCAGGACTGGGAACGGTGGGGCGGGATGGAGAGGTGCTGTTCCGGGACAGTTTATAACCACCGTTAGCAGTGATTTATGGCCGCGATTTAGATCGCAGTCCAAATTTATGTTTCGTAAAAGTTCAGAGTGAGAACTTTGGTCAATCGATAACCGTTTGACGCCGTCTTCAGTTCCAAGTATCGGTTCTAAGGAGGCCTTTGAACTCAGTTGGCATTTCGGATCGCCAAATACAAGGACAGGCGTCGACTATAGACTCTAAACATCTTGCCTCCTAGACCTTCCCTCACTCCCCTCCCTGCGCCCCTCCCTCACTCCCTTCCCTGGTCCGAGATCCCACGTCCCGTTCTCTCTCCGTCCCTTACCCGATGCTCCATCCTGCCGCTGAGTGGCCCGAGGTCTCTGGCGCCGATGGACGGCGGCCCGCTGTGCCACAGCGGACTGTCTGCCCAGTCGAGCTCGTCGACGCCCCGCAGCGGTCCGCGGCGCCGACCTCGCCGGGGCGCCGCCTCCTGCAGACTGCGGCCGGCCGGCGCGCCGCGCGGCGCAGCGCCCTCCTCCTCCGAGTCGGAGGAAGAGGAGGAGGACTGTGAACGAACGGGGAGGACTGGTCAGAGAACGGGGTGGGAGGACTGTTAGCGAACGGGGAGGGGGGACTGATCAGTATACAACACAACCATACAACAGCGGAGTAGTGTCGTTAGCTTACAAAGTTACCTGAATGCCAAACTAAGTATGAAAAATGTTCAATTCACCATCAACACCGAGTAAAGTGGCATCGCTGACATCACAAGCACACAAACGGAAACGACCGAAACACAACTGGATGCTTTGAGGCGGAGCGATCCTGCAAACAAAAATAGCTGCCACGCAAAAAGCCAGAACACCTGTTGCTGGTGCTACAAAGAATGGTGGAACAATGTAACAAGAGAAGTCATTAAAAACTTAGACGAAAGACATCACCAGACCCTTTCCTTGATACAAAGCACTGCCTTCTACGAATGCCTAATGCCGCCTTGCAAGTACCATAAGAAAGCAGTGACGAAAAACGGTCATGAATAAAAGGCGGCATTCCGTTCCATAAGCGGCGCGTATCTAATTGCAGACACACCTGTCGTTTGCGGAGCGATAATTAAGCATGTCATCAGCTGCGGTGTTTAAAGGGACCCTCCCACCTTAACATTAGTTTTGAGTTGAGATAGCCAAGTTTGCGGCCAGGCTCAGAAACCACCATTTATCCTGGTCGCAACCCCCGCAGCTTTATGGTGTTCAAGAAATTTCTTCCCTTTACTTGCAGGGTGGGACCAGCTTGGTCCCTATCTCTTAACCATTACGGGAATCTGATGACGTCATCAGGCTTTCGAACGTCCGTTAAATGTTTGACTAAAACGTTTTGTAGCACGTGGTGGTATATGCTGCTTTGCGCGCAACAAATGCCGCACTTTCAAATAAAGTCGCTAGGAACAGCGGAGATCCCAAAAAGTAAACAAAAGTAAAAGTCTAATATCTTGAAAACCGGTGAATATTTTTCGATGAAATTTGGTAGATATTCGTTTTTGCTCTTTCTGAACCGAGTGACATCAATTTCATGCCAATTCATTAACTTTTTTGAAGGTGGGAGGGTCCCTTTAAACTGCTGCCATTTCAGTCTGCCAGCCGCCACCGTTCAACCTCCAACCTCGCCACAGACCGACAAACCGCCGGGTTCAACGCATCCTCTGCACAATGGCAACCGCCGACCGCAAACCCCTCCCCACTGACAGACCTGGGCACAAACACTGAGCAGCGGCGGCGACAGTGCTGGGGACGGAGATGGGGAGGGGTATGGTTGAACAATACGACAGGAAAGATAGAGTGGGCCAGAGCGCGCCGAGAGATGGAGCGACCTAGAGCAAAACAGTCCACAATGCCGGATCCGCCTCACTATAAACCAACATAGTCCCGCTGTCAGTATGAAGTGTGGATACACAATAGGCGGGCCCAGTTCCAGTCTGTGGAGTGGGCATTAACTGGTGGTCGGGTCGGGTCACAGTGAGGACATTGACTGGTGGTCGGATCACACAGTGTGTACACTTGTCATTAGTCCGGGACCGGAGCGGCGGCGGTCGACAGGTGTTTGCTCAGCTGATGGACCGCCACCACCGACCGCAGCGCTCAGTTTGACCGGCGCAGTGGTCCGGGTCCACAGTGACCCGTGACCTACCACTAAAGCCCCACAGCCAGACACTCACCAATGGTATGGGGTGACCCATCACCATGTCATGCCGCCGCTGTCCCCGGTCAGACCCGCGACTAACCAGTGAAGTCCCCAGCCCACCTACCCTGGGGTGAGTTTCCATCCCCACAGCCCCCGCCCGGCTCTCACCATGTCGTCCATTTCGCGTCTCAGTCGGCTCAGCTCGGGGCCGATGTCAGCCGTCGTCTCCTGCGGCGCCGCCGCGGTACATAGCGGGTCGCTGCCGGCGGCTGGGGCGGTGCCGGGACCAGGACAGGAGTCTGTACCGGCGGTCGGCGGAGCAGCGCAGGCGGAGGCAGCGTCAGCCGGTGACTGCGGACGTGACAAAGAATCGAGGAGTCAGAGACAGCGACAGAGCTGGCGACAGAACCGGCACCTATCACACTGCTCCGTGCCGGGTACCGCCGGAAACGACGTCACAATGGCACCGCCGTGTCCCTCAGAGGCCAGAGCACCACAATGCAAGGTCACAGGTCGCCTCGCAGGCCGTCCGTCGGCCGAGAGCGGCCCGGCGATTAATGTCGCTGATTACACCGCATAATGGAAAGCCCGCGTCAGGCCACGAAAAAGCCTAACTTTCACGTGACGGGCGTGCGCAGCGCGTGCATCAGGGGGGGGGGGGGGGCGTGGGCACTGGGCGAGTGTGGGCGACCGAGTGACGTGAACGCGAGTTTGTGGCATGGCACGAACACAATTCACGTGTAGCGTGTGCCGGCTCACCGTTAACTATCTAATTACATCCTGTCCCTTACCACGGTGATTCGGCCGGTCCATTCGCGATTATAACGGAGTAATGATTCCATCAGAGGCCGCTCGGATCGTAATAAACTATAAAACTGCTGGCAGAACCACCGGCTCATTTGTGAACAGGATCATTACCGGCTGGCTAAGTATAAACTCCGTGTCATTATCTGTGCACTAATGGATTGGCAGCCATCAATCAGAGAGACTATCAAGTTTCGCGGCCGGTGTACGCCGGTGGCGACTCGTCCGCCGCGGGTACCTACCGGTCCGTGTTCCAGGTGCTGCAGTCGCCTCTGCAGCGCCTCTATCTGACTGTAGAGCCAGCGCTTCTCCTCGTCCTCCGTCACTGCGGGCTGCGCCTGGGTCTGCCTGGAACAGCACACAGCTCAGTGACACTCCGTCCTCACTGCCGGACCGCAGAGCCCCGCACGGCAGACGGTACCGGGCTGACCCGCGCGGCTCAGGGAGCCGCTACAAGCAGCTTATGCTAACGATTCAGGTGCCAGGTGCGATCGTCAGAGGGATTAGCCCCGTGGAATTCAGGGGCGATTTGTAGCTGTGAATCTGTGATTGCGCAAGCCTTATATAGAGCACCCTCCGACCGTTTCCGACAATCCTACCCGGCGCTGCATAATGTAGAGCGTTAGATCTCATCGCATTCAGTGTCACATTCTATGGCACAGAGCTGGTGGTAGATAAACCAATGCCACGTCTCGCCCCAGCTGGGCGCGGCCCGTCCCTCACAGGTCCTGACCCCCATGTCACGAGTCGCCTGGTCAGTTTCACCGGACAGGTAACACCCGTCACGGCTCAGTCCGTCACAGAATGAGAGAGCAGCTCACAGTGAACGTCTCACGGACACGGTCGGAGCGAAACTGACCCGATCGAGCACGGTCAACGCTATCAGACCGTGACTGAGGCACCGGGACAGCCCTTCACGAAAGGTCTTTAATCGAGCTGACCCAAGGGGCGGGCAGGCGAACTCGTGAGGCGAGGGCGGTGGGCGGGGTCTGCTGCCTAAAACAGCGTCACGTCAGGGCTGCAGCCGTGACCCTATTGTAACCCGGCGATTCTCAGGTTTACACACGACAAAGCTTAAAGACGGCAGGCAGTGGCAACAATCAACATACAATCACGAACTAATGTGACCCAACCCTCGCCAGAGCTGCAGTTACTATCCCAAACTCCGCAATGGCCTCCCCGAGCTACTCACTGGGTGCGCTCCAGCTCCGCGATCCGATGACTTATCTCCCTCTCCAGCCTGTAACCCACTCAAAGCTCCGCAATGGTGTGTTTAAGGGCTACTCAGTAGGTACTCACTGGGTGCGCTCCAGCTCCGCGATCCGGCGGAGGACGGCGGCTCGGCGAGAGGCGCGGTCCGCCCGCCGCCGGCGCCGCTCCGAGCCGTCTGTAACAGACACACGGCGGTCAAATAGACGATCACATACAGTCACACAGCAGAACCGCTCCGAGCCGTCTATAACAGACACACACGGCGGTCAAATAGACTATCACATGGACAGTCACAGAGCAGAGCCGCTCCGAACCGTCTGTAACAGACACAGACGGTAAACGGCGGTCCCACACGGTCCCACGGTAGTCACACAGCCGCTGGGTAGCGGTCCCACAATCGGGACTAGCGGAGACGGTCGGCGGGTACCGGTGCCGAGCTGAGAGTCGAGGAAGAGGAGGACGGCAAATAGCAGTTAGATGGACACAGGCTGACCGGTCAGACAGAGGTCACAGGACCGACAGAGCGGAGTAACTGACGCTGCAGAGGAATGGAGACGGAGGAGGACTTGAAGGCAACGATACCGATACTAAATTACGTACACATGCAAGTAAACAACAGCACAGACAACAGGATGAAGACGCGCAATACATTGGTGACTTGCCTCCCCTCCCCCACTCATGGTGACGAGACGAGTCGACAGTATAGCTTAGATGAGACGGCAAGGCCCAATTCCAGCCCCATGCAAACACCATGACTCGGCACCAGGCACGATTGCAGTCGGACAGCTTTTCCATCAGGATATAATGACAGGAATCGCCCGTCATCAGCCGGTGAGGATTATCGCACCGCAGCGGTGCGGCGGAGCAAAAACGGCCTGCTATCATATCAGCTGGGGCCGCAGGAGCGGCCGCCCGGTTCGCTGCGAAGATCGTCTGCGAAGACGTCTCGCACAGAGTCTGTATTCGCACGTGCGGAGAGGGAGCCAGCTCGGTCTCACAGCGACAACGGACGAGCACCAGAGGACGCAGTCGGCAGCACTGCAAGCATCCAGCCATCACGGTGAAACATTGTGTAAACCCAGACCGGTTAAACGCTCCATCAGCGGCTGGGACAGCCGGGACAGCCGCTCCGCCCGACCGAGCCGGCTGCATTTAGCGCTGATATACCGACGGCCGGCGATAGAGACAAACGGTGAAACGGCTATAGATGGCCGGCGCCGATGGTGCCGTGGGAACCTCCCACCAGGAAAATCGTTTTCCCAGTTCCACACCAGACCATGCGGAAATCAGACAATCACTTCCTCCCTATCACATAGCGGGGCGTTTGGGCCAATTTGCAGCAGCGTCATAGCCTGGCGATAGCACCTGATGGCGTCATCATTCCAGGGAGAAGCAAACACACCGATAGACGCATGAACGGACACGGCACCTCTGACCGCGGTGGGCGGGCGTAATTCACCACAGATGACTGTAGCCGGCTAATGAATCACCCACAGTCTGCTCACACAGCCTGTCTCAGCGGCGGCCAAAGGGGCAGCTGGCCACCGGCACTGAGCACAGCTGCGCCTCCTGACCACCGGCGAACGGCCGCCGGCGCCGCAACGCTAACCGGCGATCGATCCCGGCCATACGGTCCGACCGGCCGCCGCGCGCCGCGCCGGGCCGTACCGAGCCCAGCTGACAGCGCCCGGCGTGCACGGCCCTCTCAGCTGCAGCGGTACCGGTGAGAAGACCCACAGCGAGCGCTACAGAGACGCCATCACTCACCGTGAGCTCAGCAGATCACTCAGCGGAGACGTCACTCGGTGCTCGGCGGCGGCGCATCTGGTCCTCAGCTGGGCGCCGACACACCGCGGTACGGCACTGAGCGCTCAGCACACTCACAGACGGGTCCCGTAACTGGGAACACTGCGGGGACACAGCCGGCGCCGCCGCCGCGTCTCGGGCGTGTCTGCCGCGCCGGGATGGCAGCGCGCGCGGCCGGCACTGCCGATCGATCGGGGCCGCCGGTCCGGCGCCGGGCGGACCACCGGCAGGGACCAGTGGACCACCGACAGGGACCAATGGACCGCCGACGGGGACCAATGGACCACCGACAGGGACCGGTGGACCAGCGGCGGCCCACCACCGCAGCTGACCGCTGGACCCGTGACCACAGTCGAGCAGCGCCGCGGCGCGCACCTCCCCACCTGCCGCTCAGACCGCTACTGACGCCGGCATGCACGACACGCCGGCCGGGCCGCCGCACGGAGCTGCCGCCGTGAGTCAGAGCCGCCTGTGTCACGGCCGCGCACACTGCCGACTGACCGCCGGACCGCCGACAGGGGCGCCCTGGCACCGGGCCGGACCCTGGCACCGCCGCCCGCTCCCGTCACGGGCCTGGCGCGTACTCAGCCGGCTGCCGCGTCCGTGACGGCTCGGGGTCACGGTCGGCCGTCACGAGATGGCGTCACGACTGGCGCCGGCAGCGTCACGGTCCACCACCGGCGGCTGGCCGGCTTCCCACCGGGCCGACTCTCACGTGTCCGCTCCGAGCCGCCCGCGCTGGTCACCGGCCGGTCCGCAAACACCGGAGACTGTTCCACACAAACACCGGTGACCGATCCACAAACACCGACTGCAGGTCGGGGTAAGTACAGTAGCAGTTGATTCACCAAACACCGGGACACGATGCAGACCGATACACAGCACACTGCACGTGCCGCTGCAGCCGACTCACCCTAGCACTTGCTCACCGCGCTCTGCAGCTGTGCACTGCCCACACTAGCGCGTCGCCGACCACGCGGCCCGGCTCCCCTCTCGGCAGCCCGCGCACCTCCCCACCGCTCTGCGCCACCTCCCCACCGCTCAGCGCCACCCACCTAACCGCTCTGCCGTCCCGGCCGGCGCACACGGCGGGACTGTACCGCTGCGCCGCGCGGCCCAGCCCGGCTCGGACAGCAGACAGCGCGCCGACGGGGCGGCGCCGCGCGGCCGCCACGCGCTCCCACGCGCTGATCGATCCCAGAGCCCGGGACCGGCAGGGAGCCGACGGGCGAGACCGACGGCCCTTAGGGAGCCGGAACAGACGAGCCCCCTCAGGGATGGGAGTGAGCCATGTCATGAGGGGAAAACAACGGACAATCAAGCGGGGGACGGAGGACCAAGGGCAGCCCTGCAGTCATTATAATGCGTTACAAGGGTCTCAAGAGGCCACCGTCTTTCCAATGGATGTCGGGCGTGGCACTCCCCTGAAACACTCGACGATGAATCTAAGTGGGACGACACAACTGCTTCGATGGCAAATAAGCTTTAAAACTGCTCTCAGTTGACGGAGAAGCCAGTTAAAAGTTCAGCCCAGCTCTCCACGACAAAGGAGCGGACCGGTCTGTCTGTCTCGTCGGCCCGACAGCCCGCGGCCCAGACGTCGGAGGGGGGGGGGGGGGGGCAGCCTCCATCGATTGCGGCGAGCGGCAGCTGATCACACCGCCGCCGGCGCCGACCGGGTCAGAGGTCACCCGGCCCGCGGGACGAGGCCAGCAGACCAGACCCCGGGGAGGGCACTCCAGTGGAACCGTCCGTCAACTCCCGAATGCTATCGAAGTATACGTAACTGCTGACGGGACACGTCTGAAGAGGGCGATGCATCAAGCATTCAGCCTGAATGAGGGGGCGATAGGATGAAAGGGGTCGGAGTGGCGGCTCAAATTTAGCCAACGCTCAGCTTGACTGGGAGCGGAGCCAGTCAGCGGAAAGGGTAACAGTGGCAGGCCATTAGCCAGCTCGTCAAATGCCAGAAGCCATTTCTGAACAGAACGGCAGCCAATTAGCATAGTCTGCATGGTTTGGGCGAGCGCCGAACTCGGTTCAAAATAGCAATCCTCTGCCCGGCCGCCGACAGTCCGCCACCGTTCATACGTACATTAAAACGGTCATCCATATTCATGCCCGCCTTGATCGCTGACCCGTCTGCGCTCTGGGTCTCTGTCACTGCCGCCGCCCGCCGGCTCTGTCCCTCGGCATCTGGAGCCCCTCTCTCACCTCCCACGGCTGAACACATCAATCAGCTAAGTGGCCGCCTGTGTGAAACCAATGCGGCTGAGTGCTCGGCGCGGTAGCCGCGTCTGGCCAGAGATAAAGCGGCGGCGCCTACCCGGACCGCTCCGCAGTCAGAGACGAAACGCAGGCCTCGCCGACCGATAGCGCTGCACTGAGTATCAACTGAGGGCACCGTCCGGCCCTCGGGACGAGGCGGTACGCCTTATAGAGAGGCGGTGATAGAGCTGTCCCCCTGATGGCACACAGCGACACGCGGTGGTCCTGGCGCCGAGCCCGCCGAGCGACGGTGGAGCGACACTCGTCAGCGGGTAACTCTACCCGTGATCTTCCGTACTGTGGCCGTCAAGCACCTCACCGCCAGTCAGTATACAGAGCCGCCGCAGCTGCCGCAGACAGGAAACGCCTCTCGACACGACACGGATGTGACTGCGGAATACACGACCGCGGGCTGTGCAGACCGGCTGTATACACAGATGATCGGGCCTCAGCCGGGGCGGATGGAGGGCACACTACGGTCAACGAGCAGTGAATAGTCGTGAATAACTGATGTCCAACGTCTTCCCAACAATCAAACACAACTGACGCAGCTCAATTCACATTCAATCTCGCCTATTTTTTTTTCTGATGACATACGGTAAAAAGGCCTAACAGCAAAAACCCAAACGATGATAAGTGCCAACCAGTTGCTGAGTGCCTCCCCACTCGACTCGACCATTTACCACCGTGCCGGTCTGGCAGTGGCCCACCGCGCCGGTCTCCGGAGGACCGGCCATGGCCAGACGGCCGGGACTGGCTCCGGCCCAGATCCACTATCGATCGGTTCACGGGCTGGCCCAGAGTGCAGACAGAGACCGACTCCCAGTGTCTGAGACTGCAACGAAATTTGGCTGTCCGCAGTCTGCACCGAACCGAACACCAAAGGTATACACTATACATTTACATAGTCAGGAGACGAGCCGTACAACAAGAGAAATCAAAACGGTTAGAACTGACCAACAACGGCGCGATAGAAGTTTGAGAGAGAGAGAGAGAGAGAGAGAGAGAGAGAGAGAGAGAGAGAGAGAGAGAGAGAGAGAGAGAGAGAGAGAGAGAGAAAGAGAGAGAGAGCAGAAAGGGAGAGATAGAGGGAGAGGGAGA